CCCAAACATAACAAAAGCATGGCAGGCAGCGTCGGCGCTCCGCAACCATCGCCGGCCATAGTCCTTTCTTTTGCAGCGTCACGTGCTCATCATAGTTTCTTTTCCTATTCATTAGTTTTTATAAATAAAAAGAACTAAACCAAAAAGCAAAAATAATCATAAAAGGTAAGAATTTACTCCAATATGCAAACAAAAAAAACTATCGTATCTACGTTGGCATTAAATTAAAATCTAATACTTAAGGGAAAAGTGAAATGATCAAGAAATTATTTGTTTTATGATAAAAAGTTTAGATTAGAGTAAAAACAAATTCAGTGTAAAATATATAAGATAAAGATCATTTGATACTGGTATTAAACTAAAAAATTTGATAAGAAATTTTAACCGTTGATTTCTGATAATTTAACAGTTATAATTTATTAAAAATTAATAATTAATCAATAAATATGACTCAATAAATTATAATCACTAAATTTAATAAAAGAAACCGTTAAAATTTGGTGTAAAAAATTCATACTGCTTATTATATTATACTATTATTAATTTTGTTGGTGGTTTAAAGTAAAATTATTTTTTATTTATTAAAAAGGAAAGCTGAAAATCTAATTGAAGCCACGGTAACTTGTGTTGAAGGTATTAAGGGTGCGTTTGTATTGACTTTTTATAAAAGTCTTTTTTATCACTTTCTTATTTCAAAAGTATTTTATATAAAAGTTACAGCTATTTAAATTCTTAAAAAAATATTTGATTGTTGAAAAAAATATTTGACTTTTGACTTCTGTTTTTTTTAAAAGTTAAAATTTTTAGCTTACAAAAAAGTAGATTTTTGGCTTTTTTTATAACTTCTGTTTTTTTTAAAGCTGACATTCAAACAGACTTTTTTCGAGAAGTGCTTTTTTTCTTCTTAAAAAAAGCAGTTTTTTTAAAAAAAAAACCTATCCAAACGGGCTCTAAGAATCATTGGTTTACCTTTCGTGCTTTTATTTTAATTTCATTTTAAAGTGAATGACAGTAAGAATCGAATTTGTTACTTTGTATTCAAGACTACTTTAATCCAAAATCTTAAAATATTGAGTAAAATAATTTATATTATTCTCTAATTCAGATTAACTAAAACAAATCGTCGGCGAATTTTTTTTGTTTTTAGTGGTGTTGAAATCACAGTTGAGGAGAGGCACGATTTTCGCAGTTTTTGGTACCTTTGACTTTCTATTCCTAGAAAAGTTCACTACATTTTTTATTAAATTTGAAAATAATAATATAAATAACTGTTATTATTTTACCCCTTTTTATGATTATTTATAGGAAAAATCTCATGTTATATAAAATTAGTTTTTTCTTCTATACATCTTGTATAACTTTTTTCTTTATTTTTCAGATAATTTATCTCATTTGACATGAGATTAAAAACATTTTTATCTATAATTGAGTCCCATTTTTTTTAATAAAGGAGTAGATATTTCCGAATTACTAAAGATATACTCCTATTCTTACTACCACGTCATCATCTGCTCTCTGATGCCTTTGTTTCTCTATACTTCTACCATTTCTTGTTTCTATTAATTATTTATTTATAAAAATTTGTGTACACAAATAAAAGCAAGCAAGCACGGACTCGTCACTTTTTTTGCAAATTGTACGTGTCGGATATGTGTCCGACACGAACACGCGGTTAATATTTGAGGACACGCAGTCAATTCTTCGACACGTTTCGACATATTTTTTCGACATGCGGTCAATTTTTTCGGACACGTGGTCAACGCTCGGACATGCTCTGACATGTTTTTTTTTTTAAATCTTAATTTCATTTTGTTAACTAAATATAAAAAAAATAATTTATAAATTAATTTTTTTTCTGTTATGAAATTTGACATGAAAAATTAACAAAGTACAAAAAATTATTTCTATTTATGCTATGAAATTTAAACATTTGATTGGTTATATGGCTTATTATGGACCCTTATATGTATTAAATATAAATTATATTATATATATTAAAATTTTTATTTAATATCAAAACGTGTCCCAACGTGTCGAAATATGACATTTTTTAGAATTAACGTGTCAGCGTGTCGTGTCGTGTCCCGTGTCCGTTCATCATAGCATAAAAGTAGACGTATATTTTTTTTCTCTTTTTTCTTATATCCCGTATAAATCTCACATATTTTTATATGTTTATAAAAAATAATTTTATCGCCTACAATATATGAAATATTAATTTCTTTGTTTATAGGTTTTATATTTGATTTATAAATAGAGGATAATTTTTTATTACATGATCTCGAATTATTTGGGGGAAAATAAAAATATTAATTTAGGAAATAAAGCATAAAATACGATTACCATTTCGCATATGAAATGTAAAATTAATTTATAAGGAGATTGGGAGAAAAAAAATATGTAAAGAGAGAAGAATGATTCGTCCTCTATTAGAATAACAATAATTTACACTAGGAAGAAACAAATTAAAATGGGACTTTTATTTCAATTTTAATAGAAGTGAGATTTTCTTCCTTTTTACAGTAAATAAAATTGATTCTAAATAAAAGACTTGTTAAACTTTTAAAACATAGTTAATTACATTTTAAAGTTATTTTGTTTTATTATATAAATAATTTTTTTTGAATTTTTTTAAATTATTCTTTATAAAGTAAAAAAAATCTTTAAACACCGATTATCTCAAAATTAAATATTGTGACATTAATTTAACTAAAATTTAAACCAAATGGGAAGTCTACATTTTTTTTTATCTCGCAACCAAAATGAAAGTACAAAAGAAAATCTTAATCTCAAATGAAAATAACCCTAGTTATTTAATATAACCATGTTCTGTGAGAGGATGAGTGTTATCAAACTCGAACCAGCGCAGTTATCAACTCGATCGAGATATTAAGTCAATGAGTTATCAATTTAAATAATAGATCATTGGTTTCACTACATGAATTAAATATATATAATAAAATATAATAAATATAAATATAGAAGGATTATAGCTAATAATCAGACTTGATTTAATGATAAGTGCTATAAATTATAATTTATATAATCTAGGTTCGAATCTCCTTAATAGTAACTTTAGAATTATTATCTAGTTATAATTCTTCTACTTAACATAATCATATTAAACAATCCACTTTCTTGTCATGAAAAAAGAAAGAAAGATAAGATACACAATTCTTGTTGTACAATCACCGTTATAATCAAAGGGAAATATTGTTCTCCTTTCACATAAGTTAACTTCTCTTATGTTCTCTCACTTTGATTCTCGCACTCCACTTTTTTCTTATAATGGTGGGACCCACCTATTTTATCTCTACAATATAAGATAATTATCTCATGTAAAAGGAGACTAATAAAGCCCTATAATCAAATATTAATCATCTGTTAGTCCTTACTTATAAAAGAATAAATATCCCTTTTGATCCTCAACAAATTTCACGATGTCCGTTTTAGTCCCTAACAAATAAAAAGGCCCATTGTGGTCCTAAGAAATTCAAAATGGATCTATTTAGTTGAAATCGTGGTCCCTCACAAATTTAAAAAAGACCCATATTAGTCCCTAAAAGGACTAAAATGAGTCCATTTTAAATTTTTTAGGAACCACGATGAGTCTTTTTATTTAGCGGACATCGTAAAATTTGGTGAGGATCAAAAAGAATATTTAGCCTCTATAAAAACAATAATAGTTATGAGCGTTATATCAAGGGTCATTTATGGCAAGTACGGCAGGTAATTGCTCGTTTGGTGTGTGGTTTGTAAAGGTTGTCCTGGATTTCGTGGTTTTGAAATGCTAGATAAAGTTAATCTCATAATTATCATGTAAGAACTCCGATGTTTTCGTCAGTGTCCTAAACAAAAAATAATTAGAAATAAATAATATGTATAAAAAATTTAATTTGAAAGATAAATTTAAAGATTGAAATAAAACAAGAGAGTAAAAATATCCTCTGTACATTATCAATATGAAACTTATAATATCTTAGTAAATTCCAAATATAGAAGTCGTCAAATAATCACATCCATTCATATCCAATGGTTATTACAAAGTCACGTAAGCTAACAGAGAAGTACATTGAAAAAGTATGTGCTGTATTATTTCATAGATACAAAAAAATAATATCAAAGAAAAAAAATAGACACAAAAAGATGTGTTCCGTTGAAAAAAAAGTATGCAACACTGTACGACAAAAAACAAAAATGTGTGAAACATTTTTATTTAATTCATTTGTTGTTATTACATGAGTACTTGTTTTTCCTTTTGTTTTTGTTTCAAATTTCGAAGGTTCATCATCCACTTCCTTAACTTCTATATTTAGCAACTATCTCTTTTTCTCCCTCTTCCCCCTCTCTCGCTCAAGGACCAAGCATTAGGAACCACGAAAAAGAGGTGCATGTTGTTGTTCCAGGTGTTTTTGTTTGCCACACCACAACATCTGCAATATTGTTTTTCCATGTTTTTGGCACGATTTGGCTTTTTTGAATTTCCCTGCATTTACTGAGCCTTGTTTCCGTTACAAGTAGTATGCGTTGGACATGCTTCGGAATGTTATTGTTTGGTTTGGCTCTTCTGTTCTCGACATTGTTTCGCCATTAATAAGAAATTTGGCAATTCCATCATCGTTATAATCATTCTCTCTCTTCGTTTTAGACCCCATTATTATTCGGGAGGAAAAGATTGAAATTTTGAAAAGAAAAAATAAATAAAAAAATTAAGAGGGGAATCCACCTGCTCAGAAGAATCACAAGATTTTTTTTTATCGTTAAATCATATCAAATGTTTCTTGGGATTCGGTTACACGTGAGAAAGGAGTAACGTTAGAATAACTTTTGGTGATAATTTCCATCTGGGGTATTCTCATTCAAATCAGTATGTGGTAGAAACATCAAATTCAGTGGAATGATCCAAAGGGGTGGTGGTGCTGGTATTGGAATTTGGTTCAGCAATCTGGAATTGATTGGTGAACTGAAAGTTTGAGAGAATGAGGTAGGTGAATACAAATATGGACACAAAAGAAGAGGCTGAACCTAATAATGAGGATAGGCCCACATCGCCAATGTGGGTCCTGCAGCAGTTATCTGAAGGGGCATTCAGAGTTGCTGGGGAAGCATTGCAAAGTATGTACTCTGGTGGTGGCGGGTCAAGCATGCCCCCAATGGGACCTGGTGTACATAGACGCTGTCAAAGTGAACTTGTTACTAAAGGATTTCAACGTAGTAAAAGCTTTCAGAAGTTAAAATCTCATGTCAACAAGGCTTTGCGGTGGGGTGGCAAATCCAGTGAAGAAGGCTCCCTGGCATATTTCAACCCTGAGGTCATGGCAGACCAGAAACGTCAGTGGTATCAGCTTCATCCCAAAACTCTGGTATTCAATTTTTAGAATCCCTTCATGTACAATGTTGATTTGCAAATAGTAGTAGAAATTAATTGCTGGTTTAACATTTCTGCTTTTGACGCAGAAAATATTCATCTGCCACACTTATATAAAAGTGAGTGGATTCATTAATTTTTTTTTTTTACTTTATGTGAGTGTGGTATAGAAATATTTTATGCGTCAGAAACAGAAATATTTTTTATTAGATAATGTACAGTAGTATAGTACTATCAATGATATTAAATTTCAATAGCTCATGTTTCACCTTATTGGCTCACAGTACAAAATCATTTTCCTTCCTTTCAATTACTTTTTTCTTTATTGTTTAACCAAAAAAACCTACTGCTTGGTTTAGGAAACTTTTTGTCCACTAGGAAACTCGTACTTTTCATTTGAGTTCATCTGACAACGACTTTGGGATAAAGGTGTTGTTGATGTTGAATGTTGAATTCTCTTGCTTGTTTTGAAAAATATAATTCTTCTGCATGCAATATTTTAAGGGGAAATATGCACCATTGAAGGGAATTTGTAGCATTTGTCTCTCTACACATAAGTCTGACCCTATCAGAAAGAACATAGAGTATCGGTGTTGATGATTTTAATTGAGAAAGATGTTCTTATATTTGTGCAGTTAACCATGCCATGCTGGTATTGTGAGTAATGGGTATGTTGTTAATGCTAAAAGTTATTTGGAAGGTGCTTCATGTTGACTCGGAACATTAACACTGATTCATTATTGCACTAGCTTTTATGGGGTTATTTTGTATCCCTTACACATGTTTTGTCAGAAATGTAAAATTATCAGTCTGTTGAAGTAAGTCACTGAATATTACTGTAGGATTGTCTAAATTATAAGGAGCCAACCTCGCTCTTTGAACATTTTGTGATTGTGGGGCTGCCTCCAGATGCTAATTTGGATGTCGTGGAGCATGCATTTGTAAGAAGGAAGAAATGGGAAAAGGAGAAGGAAAATTCTGAAATTCTATATTACAAAATGCTGCAGCAACAAAGGTTGCCAGAACCAACTTTGGAACCTCAGGTTTGTTGGATATCAGTTTTTTAATACATTTATTGATAGAAAAGAAAATTTTATTAGAGAAAAAGGAAAGAAAGTATAATTAAGGGAGGATAAGATATCCTCCAAAACAGAGGAAGAAGAAGCAAACAAAGAATAGAAGAGACTAAGGGCCTCTTTGATTGTGTTTTGGTTTTTTTGTTGTTAAAACTGTTTTGTAGAGTAATTATGGAAACAATTGTTATCTGTGTTTTTTTTGTTTTGAAAGTTAAAAACCAAAACAGAAAACAAAAACAACTCAGACATGTTCTCTAAATTTGATTCTAAAAACAAAAAAATAGTTACAGTTTTTAAAATCTCTTTTATAAAACAGGCCTTACCAAACGAGTTTTTTTGTTCTGAAAACTAAAAAACTGTTTTTAAAAACAATAATCAAACAGAGCCTTAACTGACTGTCCAGTCTCTGTGCTTATCAGAGATAGAAAAATTCAATTAAAATTCATCTGTGATTCTCAACTGATAAATTTTTAAGGTTGATTTCTCCAGATTTGCAGAGGATATTTAGTGTTATAGGCATTGTGCATAGCTGGTGTCTGGTTCTCTTCAGAATTTTAAAGATTAATTTCACAACATTTATGAAAGATTTTTAGGAATATTACATCTGTATTTTGATGCTGATTGTGAATTATTTGAATCTAAAATCTGCTGCTACCATACAAATGATCTCTTCAAACAAATAATTTGATTGTAACATTTCTCAGCATATAAAATGTAAACATTTCCTCCTTATTTATTGTAAAGAACCTTGGGATACACCACCCCAAAAGCTAGCTCGAAGGGTGGGAGTGCTCAAGGCCTTATAAACTCCACATTAGTTGCACATACATACAACCAATGTGGGATTATATATCTCAACACGCCCCCTCACACGAGAGCCAATTGGGCTTGAAGAGTGGAAGATGCAACAGGCTCAGCCTACCTGTGCTAAGAAAGTCCACAAGAGAAAGTGGGGGGCGGCGAGGCTCTGATACCATGTAAAGAACCTTGGGATACACCACCCCAAAAGCTAGCTCGAAGGGTGGGAGTGCTCAAGGCCTTATAAACTCCACATTAGTTGCACATACAACCAATGTGGGATTATATATCTCAACATTTATAATTTCAATTCAGTCTACTGCTATGTATCAATAGGTTTTTTGTAGCTGATATCATTTTGTAAACATGCAGATACTTTTCAAATATCCTCCTGCAAAGAAGCTAACAATGCGTATGAAGGATTTAGCCTCCTTTTGCTTTCCTGATGGTGTTAAGGTCTGTTTGATGGCTTTTTGACCCTTATAACCTTTTATTAATAATTAATTACCAAATTGACCTTCATTATAAACTATTTCAAAAATTTAACCCCCTCAAAAAACATAACACCAATCTGCCCCTGTTTGACCGTTGACCACCAAGCCTACCCGGGTACACCCCTCCCTACCCGAGTATTTTTTGAAATTTTTTGTTTACCCGGGTAGGGAGGGGTGTACCCGGGTATTTTTCTTGACACCTGCGAAATTGCTTGAATTATTTACCCGGGTACGGAGGGGTGTACCCGGGTAAATCTACATAAAGTGGTTGACTTTGGCATTATTGAAGGAGTGTTTCTGGTTAAGATTTTGAACATTGAAGGAGTGGATCTTTTCCTCCTGGGTAGATTGCTTCCTTTGTGAATCCTCTTCGTTCATAATTAACTCACTCAGATCTAGATAAAATTGTAAGATCACCATTTTTTATTTTTATTTCTTGGTGATAATTGTTTGACCATTGTTTGCCTATGACCTCAACTTTTTTGGACTGCCACTTATAACTTTAATATTTTATATTTGCATAACACGAATGTATCAGATAATGAAATACAATTACTTCATATACAAGATGCTGTAGCTACTCTCAAGCGAGTGCAAAATAGGATGTGACTTTCTAAGCTTATTTGTTCTATAGAAACAAAAGTCTCTGTCGAAAATATGACCGCAAAGAGTAACTTTCTTACAAATGTTCATGAAAGATTTGGAATTCTTATCTCACACTATGGATTCATGGAACGCTTATAGTAAGGCACACAGAAACAAAAGACACTCACTAAATAGGTAAACATAGAGTTCCAGGGGAACTAGCTTACATAGCATAAGACACACCACCTTTGGATGTTAGAATTTTTAATTAGTTAAATTCTTGTTCTGGTAAACATTCAAAGTGGTCTTTATTAAATGCCTTGGCTGTGACAGAAGAGAGGGAGCTTGGCTGAACAATTTGGCTTCATCTGATATTGAAAGATTTATAGCCAGAGCTCCCTGGTATGTTTGTCTGAATCCTTCCCCTCTCATCAGCAAGCCTGCAGTGAGTTTCCTTAGGGTGATGGCCTTTGCTGTGGCTGCTGTTGCCCTCATTGCTTGAATTATTTACAAAAGATTACACACTGAATGCCTCGACAATCGGCATAATAACGCCAAAGGGATATCCCAACCACTTTATGTAGATTTACCCGGGTACACCTCTCTGTACCCGGGTAAATAATTCAAGCAATTTCGCAGGTGTCAAGAAAAATACCCGGGTACACCATTCCCTACCCGGGTAGACAAAAATTTCAAAAAATACCCGGGTAGGGAAGGGTGTACCCGGGTAGGCTTGGTGGTCAACGGTCAAACAGGGGCAGATTGGTGTTATGTTTTTTGAGAGGGTTAAATTTTTGAAATAGTTTATAACGAAGGTCAATTTGGTAATTAATTATTAATAAAAGGTTATAAGGGTCAAAAAGCCTCTGTTTGATACTATTTGACTTAATCAGATCTGCCCAATTCTTTTTCTTTGTTAAATACTACTTCAACATTATGATGAAAATATATCTTTGCTAAACTGGTCCTAGTAACACTGCTTGTTAGTACATGACAAAATTATTATTATTTTCTTAATTTTCTATGAATAAATTGATTGATTTGTCTTGAATTTAGAAATTTCTATTATCATTTTTATCATTATATTGCAGCATATGAACATAATTTATGAGTATATATCACTGCGGCACCAGGAATAGAAGTCTATCTGTCTATGGAATCTAGAGAAATCTTACGTTGGTTTTTATCAGTTGCATCCATAGGTTGAGCTTATTAGGATTGACTAATACTCTGGCCTTTAATTTGTATGATGTCTTAATTGCAAATAATAAGTTTTCCACCTTTTATTTTGGGTAGAATTTGGCATTTTGTAAACTAATATGAAAATAACAGTTTTGATAAACTGCAGCTCTATTTAAGCTATGAAATCTGCTCCTATTTCCCCCACAAACTGTTTCATTTGTTAAATGTTGATTTACAGGCTTGGTTGTTGGAGAGGACTCCATCTTTAAGTGACCTAAATGAACTTGTCTATAAACAGGTATGCTACATCAATCTCATAATTTATCTTTTAGAATGACAAGCTAGTTAAGCAATTTATCATCTTTCATTTGTCAAATCTAGTGTTTTAGATGGTGAATTCATACTATATAAGCATAATTTAATACTTGGTCTTAGTACTGAGGCATGCACATGTAGAGAAATATTGAGGATCTCTACATTTCATGACCTTTCATTTTTGTTGAAAAGTAGCTTTGAGTGAATCAAATTCTTATTGTATAATTAACCTTCCATTGAGCGCTCACCACCTTTGAGACCAAAGAGATAATATATATATATTTTAATATTATCTACAGGAGCATTTAGGCAGAGATGATCTATCATTTATCTTTACGCTCAAGGTAATTTTTCTTTTTCTGTTGACATCATCTATTAACTTTAGTGTGTTAGCCTGATATGGTTTGTGACTGTTCTATTCAGCACTTCTGGAATCATTTGACTTACCTATACCCTGGTTCACTTATGCTAGGTCATAGCACGCAAGATTCTGTTTCTGTGTACAGTCTGCACATATTCTTATTTCGAATTTATTTTTTTAAGAATTGTGGAGTGGGAGGGTAAATTTATATTACAAACATATTTTCTTAGCTACTTAGTGTTTTTCCATGAGATATGTTGAAATATATAAAACCATTAATGTATCCTCACCCAATGGCTTAAGCTTTTGGGTTGAATTGATTCTTTACATGATATCAGAGCCTCGGTGTATCGGGTTCGATCCTCACCGCCCCCCACTTTTTTTCTAGTGGAATCTCTTTCTTCGCACAGGTAGGTGGGCATGTGAATTATCCACCCTTCAAGCCCAATGGGCTCTCTTGTGAGGGGGCGTGTTGAAATATATAAAACCATCAATGTATCCTCACCCAATAGCTTAAGCTTTTGGGTTGAATTAATTCTTTACAAGATAAAACTTAAGAAGCATGTGTCAAAGGATTGTCTCAACACTTCAGAATATTTGAGTTGTCAAACGTCATCCTATTGTTGCAGCTCAAGCTGCTGGTGATTTTTTACTGATCCCTCCTCTATATGTATATATATAGATATACCATTAGGTGTGGATTGGTTTTGTTCAGTTGGTTCTCATTCATTTCTTTAAGTTCAATATTTTGATGGGAAACAAAGATTCGTGACTGCTGAAATAAATTATTTATACCCTCATGCGCGTTGATCAGGCAGAAGACAATGCAACACTTTATGGAGTTTGCTTACATGTGCCCGAAATTGTTCAGAGGCCCCCTGGTATCTTAGTTTCTCCTCCGTCTGGGTTATGCAGCCGTTTTCTGGTTTCTGCACCTCGCTGTTACTGTCTTCTGACTAGAGTTCCTTTCTTTGAGTTACACTTTGAGATGTTAAACAGGTTAGCATTATTAATGGCTTATGGGCATGTACTGACTCACTTTTCAGGTCGAAGACATGCTTAATGTCATTTGCTTTTCCCTAGATCCAATAGAATTCATTATATCTTACTTGGATGCAGTCTCATTGCACAGGAGCGTCTGAATCGGGTAACTCAGTTTGTAAATGAGATGACTCTCACTGGTTGCTTTCCATCAACACCCAAACTAGATGATCAAATGAATTCAAACGCTTACTCCCCAGAGAGGGAGTCATTTAGTGACTGGATGGCTTGTGCAATACCTCTTGAAGGTGCAGCAGTCATTACTGCTGCTGCTGCTGGGATTATATCTGATGATGAAATCCCACAGTCATCACCCAAAATATGGGATTCTCACTGCCCATCTCCTATAAGTGTGACTGCCAGTGATGCTTCAGATTCTTGTCAAGTTAGGGATATAGATAAGGATGGCAGGAAGAATCTGCCAGATCATGATAATTGTGCTTTTGAGGCACCAGAAACTCATGATTCCATGGAAAAAATGTATGGAAATTGTGAAAGTGACCAAGTTTCTCCCAGTCCTGGAACACCCTTTTCTGCTCGGAGTCGTGCATTGGAGCGTCTTGGAAGTTCTGAGTCACTTTTCAGGTGGTAGATTTATAATTATAGTATTCTAGGTTTCAATTTTCTTTAATTTATTGTGCTGAGATATGTATCTGGCAAAAGTTTGTCTCCTAATCTGGACTTCCTTCTAATGGCGCTTAATTTTTTTAGATTTGAATAGTTCATCGGTCTGTTTAGTCTTACTGGTTTTTTTGACGTTTTATCTTCACTTTCAATTCAATTTCCTTATCATATTGTTTTCATTGGCAGTCCAGTTAGAAGCATGGCATCGGAAGATGAGGATGATTTCTTTTCAAACAATGAGAGAGACTATGGGGATGAATTTTTAATGGAATGGGCTATGGTCAGTGTAAAATGGTTGCCCATTTGCTTTGCATTGGTTAATCTAAGGTGATGCTTGATTGGCATTTAACATGTTTTCTTTGTTGTGAATGGCTTTGATAGGAGAATAAGAATGATTTGCTACAAATAGTGTGTAGATATCATGCTCAACCTATTCCACCTCGAGGAAGCGAATTTGTGTTCCACCCTCTTGAACATCTACAAGCTATTCAGTATATAAGACATTCAGTTGGTGCTCTTGGCTTTAGCAAAAACTTTTTAGATTGTTCTGAACCGGCCCAGGTAATTCTTAAGTGATTTTTAACGCAATACTACTCCACAAATATGCTCACTCTTTGCAACTGTACCTGCTAAAAGGTCGAGATGAAGTTGGCAGCTGCTGAGGAAGCCCTTGCATTATCAATATGGACAACAGCAACTACTTGTCGAGTTCTTTCCCTTGATAGTGTAAGCACATATTCCAGTTGAAGTTCAACAAAGTTAATATTTGTCAAAAGTTTTGTTGATACTGTTTTTAGAAACCATATCCTGCATGCAGAAAATCTTCTAAAACTATTCTTTTCCCACTAATTTCTATTTATTTCTTTTTTTAATGCAGAAAACTATTTTCAGATTGGTTTTGCTCCTCTCTCATGTTTGCTTTTCCTGTTGCTGTATGTTGCAGTTTATTTATTCCAGTTCTGATACTGAGTAACATTCTTTTATTGAATTATAGCTTGCATCTTTTGATCATCAGTTCCTAGCTTCATATGCTATAATTTAGGGTTGTACATGAACTGGGTTTGTCAGGTTGGGTCAACCCAAACCGAACCCATTAACTTTTTTACGTACTCTAAACAAAACTGACCCAAATATATCATGAGAAAAGGTTAAAGAAGAAAGAAAGGAGCATATATCATGAGTAGTTCCTAGGACATTTTCATATTCCCTATGTTTTTTATTTGCATAAATAAGTAGTATCCTTGTGACTCTATATGATGTACTCTTCCATAATGAGAAAAGGAATGGTAACAAACACTAATCCTTATTACCTTACAACTAGCAGGGACAATTTAGTTTGTCAAAGAAGATGGTTTTACTGTGCTTTCTTTTCTACTTATAGACTGTTTCCCCTGGCCCCTCTACTTCCTGTTGAAGATTTTGACACATTACATTTACTATATCAGCTGCAAACATCATGCTAGTTTCTTGATTGACCAAAATAACTTTAATTTTTTATCCATAACGTTACTGGCAGGTGTTGACATTAGTTGCAGGAGTGTTGTTGGAAAAACAGGTGGTAGTAGTGTGCCCAAATCTGGTAAGTCTTTGAAACAATCATATTAATTGATGATCATTGATTTGCCTTGCAATGTTTTATGCTTATTACGAGTTTTCTGCTGCTGTTAGTTAACTTGGATTGCTACAGAGAAGTATTATAACCTGTCTTTCATTTTGGCCATTTTTTGACACTATGCAGGGTGTTCTATCTGCCACAGTGCTATCTCTTGTTCCCCTTATTCGTCCATTTCAGTGGCAGAGTTTATTGCTTCCGGTGAGTTCAGTGGCATTCGACAAGCCCTGATTTCAAATTTTTCTTGTGGCATTGTCACATGAGTCTAACAATATGTTAGCCTTGCATTTCAGGTTTTACCAGGGAGAATGATTGATTTTCTTGATGCCCCAGTTCCATATATTGTGAGTTTCATTTTATTTGATGTTTTGTAAAATATGTTGCTTTGCGTTATATTTGTTTTGTAGACTACTATTTTAGTATTTATTATTGCTTTTTTTGTTATATTAGTTTGCTGAGTATTACTTGAGTATTCATTCTTCATTCCTTTATAATATTCGCCTTTACCTGGAGAATGGTTGATTTTCTAGGTTTTTTTTCTTGCTTTTTAGGATGTGTACTTCCAGTTTCATTTTGAGTTGATAATGGTTTTGTGTTGCATTGAAGATTTTTTAACATCTTCATGTTAATAATTCTACTTTTCTTTCAATATGTGAGAATGACACCCTGCTCATATATTATATGTAGTTTTGTTTTGATGTTGAAACTATGCCTTCTCTTTCTGAAATTTTAAAAAATAAAAAAAATAAAGAGACAAAAATAGGAGTGGAAAGAGAGAGCCCCACAAACTGAAAAAATTCCCCACCTTGGTTCTATGTCATGTGATATTTTTTTATTTTTTGCTGACAATACATGTGATTTTGAGAGTTTTTAAGAACGGTCTCATTGTTCAATCCAATTTTCTAATGTTCTTGAAGGTTGGCATACAACATCCACCAGATGATTTGAATAGGAAAACAAATAATCTTGTTCAGGTTAATGTACTGAAGGATCAGGTTTGTCATGACCTTTTTGGGCTTGTATATATGTTTTTGACCCCATTGTTGAACAGGATTTCTAACCAGATGATAGCATATGCTGTTCCATGTAGAATGTCTCTTTCATATTTCTGTTCCATTTATTTTTCTTTATGTAGGCAAAAATGTGTCATTTGCCAAGACTTCCACAGCATAAAGAGCTTGTCTCTCAGTTGGGTCCAATTCATGCCAGACTTTCAAGTGAAAGTTCAATTGCTAGAAAGCATCCTGTACATAGGTGCAACGAAGTCCAGGTTTTTTTTTTTATTTCCTATACTGAAAGACTTCTCTTTCTCTCTGATTTTAGAAAAATAAAATTTAATATTTTATCTATGAATGATTCATGCATAAACCAGCAGTGTTTCAGCTTTTAGCCTCTGATGCTTCTTCCTCTAGTGGAAACTGCTAATTTGTATGTTTACAGGCTGAAGCTGCAACTCAGTTTTTAAATGTCATGTGGCACTATATGGAGTCACTTTGTTCAAATCTGAAATCCCATACGATAACTAGTGTACAATCAAATAATGACAGGGTAAGATAAATAATTTGTTTTTTTTTTTTTTTCATTTTCATTCCTGGAAACTCTCAACTGATTAAGAAGTGCCCACTTTTTCCTAGCTCATCCTGGATCAATTTTTCAGGTTTCTTTACTTCTTAAAGATAGCTTCATTGATTCCTTTCCAATTAGGGACCAGCCATTCATTAAGGTAACAATATTTTATTCTTTGAAAGAAAAATCATAGGAAATTATCATTCTACATGAGCATTGAAATGATTGTTACAGATAGTAGCACGAGTTGCCATCCTAGTTTAGAATAAAATCTGACTGTTATATATTTTACATTGTGCCTAAGGGTGGAGAAAAGGTTGCATTTTTAACATCATGGAGGGGTTACATTAAATATTAGCCCATGAATAGTCATAGTGGGATTAGCAGAAAGGGTAAAAGTCTTTCATCTTGATCAGTTGGGTAGCCCTGAGACTAATAATTGGATGAAATGTTCAGAAAGCTTCAATTTTGTTTGGACACCGTGTTATTTATTTATTTTCATCTTTATTCTGGAGCAACATAGGTCCTAGTGAGACTTTAAGCTCATTGATAATTCTTCTTTCAAAGCTATTGATTATGAATCCTTGACTTTGCAGCTATTTGTAGATACACAGCTCTTCACTGTTTTGTCAGACTCTCGTCTATCAAGCTTTGAGAGTGGCGAGTCATAGCCCTCTGTCACATTGCAATAGATCTGTTATACATGGTTGTAGGCAGTGAAGAAGATATAGTTCTTAATTTCATTGGTGTTCACCTCCAATCCAGATGAAAATTTGCTAACCCTAGAATCCAATGTTTGGAATGACAAACAGTGAGTTGGTATGTGGGTTATAAAATTTTGTATCAAGTTGATAGTAATAGACTGCAAATGCTCTATACTGAGTCACTGGTGCTGACCCAGAGGAAAGAATCAGTGTCCCTATTTTTTATTGAGGGATATGTTCTTGGGTTTAGCTGCTCATATTTTATAACTGACTTCTTGTGAGTACAGATTTCCCCATCACTATAGCATACATATAATTCGTTTTATTTTGTTTACTCTTGTTTTTAGATTATGACAATGACATATTCTTTTCTTTTTCTTTTCTTTTTCTCTTTTTTTCATAGTAGTGTTGTTTTCTTTTGTAATTTGCCTGGTTCTGTTTCCTAATAAAGGACGTTTCATGGGTTGGCACCACGTCATAGTATTTCAATAAAACCTATTTCAGTGACAGCTTGCGTATCTCTGGTTTCATGAATATAACCATTATTGTGTATATGCTATAAGATTATTTCAGAACTGCACCAAAAACAGGCACATTTAAATGAAAAAAATAAAAAATAAAAGTGTAAAGTCTTTGTTACATAAGCACACAAGTACTGCAGTTGGTTCTAATTAAATTTATTAGAACCACAATTTAGTTGAGTACATTGGTTGCAGTAGAAGGCCCAAGTGAATTACAATATCAAGGATTTGAATCTTCATATTGTTATTTTAAAAGGAATTTTGTCACCCTTAGTGCAAAACAGCATAAGCAATTGACTATACCAGATAGAGAGTGATGACTGCTTACTCTTAACTACGGGGAAAAAAGTCTTTTAATGACAAGAATGAGTAAAAAAAAGTACATCAAAGAGAATAACTAACCAAGTATTGTGCTCCATTTTGATAAGAAACGCTTATCAGCAAGCATTCGCTAAAGGCTGGCTATGGCATGCAATTATGCCGTTTCAAACCTACACGATATCCATGAAATTGCAAAGATTGTTTCTGATGCATGGCACCATAATCCATGACATGCCAGCTTCTTAGACCAGTAAGCTTCAATACTTTCTAAATACAAATCAAAATTTCTAAAAATTATTAGTGACAGGTAGCATTTGAGATACTTTAAATGAGTAAAGGATGATGGGGAAGGTAAAATAATATAATACCTACTAAGGAGTCTTATGGCATGACTCTGCCAACGAAGTTTCATACTTAAAAAAACAATATGGGTTTACTTCTAAAGTAATATTCTAGTAAGAATGCACCCCCTACATTAAAAAGCTGCACCCGCTAGATGTGGACTCCTTGGCAGACCCCTCGTCCGAAACATACAAGCAAAGTGGAATGGCAGAGAAAGGAGAATTGGAAAGAGAGGGAAGGGGAAACAAATTTATTGAAAATTTCGTTCCCAGGCTATGAAACTTCTACACTATAGCATATCCAAAGTAGGAACAGCTGTGGTGTCTGCCACCCGCAGGATGACAGGTGATGAGATATGATTCATGACAGGTAAAGTAGAATACCAGAGTCATAACTCAAAATGATGCTCATGAATCCATTACAAAGGCTTTCTGATACAAGTTTGTAGAAACATTTGGAAGAAACTGTGCATATTATACCCCAAGTGATCTTAAAAATTGTAGCCACTCAAGATTTATTTAACTACAACCAAAACAAGAGGGTAAAGCAACTCAACGCATCCGTTACACTGGAAACTAGCAAGGCTAAATTAGATCCCCTCATGCATCCGTTGAAAGCACGCAACGAAGACATCCCCCTTCATGCAAAAGATCGAAAGCCTTGTTGATCTCCGCAAGAGTCAAATTGTGGGTAATGTACTCATCAACCTTGATTTCCTGTCAAAAAGGAAAAGCAAACAATGTAGTCTCTCATAACGATCCATGCATTAACACTTTCCAACAATCTTGAATTAATAATGCATAGAACACTCTTGAAAAACCTTTACCTTCTTCAAGTACTTGTCTACGAGCCAAGGCACTTGTGACCTGCTCTTGAAGCCACCAAAACCTGTTCCTTTCCATACACGCCCAGTCACCAACTGGAAAGGGCGAGTTGATATTTCCTGCCCTGATGCTGCAACACCCACAATAACTGATGTCCCCCAGCCCTGGAAATTGCAACAAAGAATATTTTTATGTGTACAACCATCATCGTGTAATATTTGAACAATTGAATCAATGAGGCAGCAGCAGCATTTACCTTGTGGCAGCATTCCAAGGCAGCTCTCATCACAGAGACATTTCCAATGCACTCAAAGCTATAATCAACTCCACCATCTGTGAGATCAGCTATGACCTGCTGAATTGGTTTCTCATGTTCTTTTGGATTAATAAACTCGGTGACTCCGAAGTTTTTTGCTGCAAGGTAAAATAGCAAAAGAAGACAAGTATACAAACATATTTTTCAGTTTATTAGGGTTCAAGATCAGACAGAAAAGGGAGGGTAAAGGGAAAGAACGTAAAGGAAAGCTTGAGAGAAAACCAGAGAGGCTTATTCTGAAATTTGATACTGAAAGACTACTATTCTCAATTATTGTTTCCAGAGATACCCAACTAGTTTGAGATTAGAGGTGGTGGTGGTGTTGTTGTTGATGTTGATGTATTGTTTACAGAGACCAGTACAAATATATATAGCTCTAACTGTCTGACAGTTATCAGCAACTGCATTGTAGTTACTAACTATTCTAACAGCAAAGTATTAACTACTCTAGCACAGGTTAGGGCAACCAAGCTCGTCGTGATGTACCTATATCAAACTTCTTGCTGTCAATATCTATGCCAATAATCCGGGATGCACCTGCAGTTTTAGCACCTTCTGCAACCTGTTAAACATATAAATTATGAATCACAAAAGCAGCCCAAAACCAGGCAAATACATAGACATATTGTAACTTTAGAAACTTACAGCAAGCCCAACAGTTCCAAGGCCAAAAATAGCCACAGTTGACCCTGACTCCACTTTTGCAGTGTTCCAGACAGCTCCAAGGCCTAAAAGGTAAAAAGAATAGTTATCATAAATTCATAATAATAAGTAAACTTGACATGCAAAGAACACAAAACCACATATTAACAAAAAAATACAATAAGGCAATCAAACAAACTGTTTCAGCCCAGTAATCTCTCCCCCTGCATTTTCATTCAACAATGCAAAGCATACAGTCAAAGTCCAGTGTTAGCAATAAGAGGATATGGAGTGAAGACTTTCATAGCATTAATAAAGAAGGAAGGAAAAAAAAGTTTGTAAAGCAACATTTCTATGAAGTATATTACTTGATAAATTAACAAATTTCAAAGTGCAGGATCACAGTTAGGCTACCTTATTATCAAATTAGAATAATGATAATTGATAACCTTGAGCTATCATTAAATCAAACTCCAAACTCCAAACACAGGGGGTTATTCTAGCCGACAACTTGGATTAGATTTGTAACTCTGATCAGAACAGAAGTTTAATTATATATTTGTATGGCAAGGCAGCAATAATACATACTCCATGGGCAAATATAACATCATTGTCCAAGCACATTTCATGAATTCATTAGACAGTCTATGAACACGAACAAATTATGCACAGAAATGATAAGCTACTACATCCCATATAACTAGAAAAATCTCAATACAGTTTTTTTATATCACGAAAAAGAGAATGGTTACCGGTTGAAACACCACATCCGAGAAGACAAACTTTCTCCAAAGGAGCTTTTGGATCAATCTTAGCTACGCTGACATCATGAACAACAGTGTATTGACTAAAGGTTGAGGTTCCCATAAAATGATAGATGGGTTTTCCATTAATAGAGAAACGACTCTTGCGATCACTGAGCATGACCCCAACTCCAGTGGCAGCACGAACCTTGCCACAAAGGTTTGTCTTGCCGGATTTGCAAAACTTGCATTCTCTGCACTCAGCCTGGTAACAGGGTATAACATGATCTCCAGGCTGAACCTCAGTAACACCTTCTCCAACACTTTCAACAATCCTGCACAAATAAATAAATAAATAAATAAACTACTATCCAAATCAACAATCAAGCATGGCAATGCATATGTTGCAGCTAACAAAAATGCAATATTAACACACCCTGCAGCTTCATGGCCAAGAATACAGGGGAAGAGACCTTCTGGATCCTGCAATAGCAATAAAGGAGAACATAACAACAATCTTCTGTTATTGTACAAGGAAACACAAATTGTCATGGGAAATGGAAAAGAAAGAGAAGAGAGTACCTTGCCGCTCCAAGTATAAGCATCAGTGTGACAAAGAGCAGTGTAGAGAATTTGAATACGGACCTCGCCGGGCTGCGGCGGAGCCACCTGAACGTCTTCAATCGTCAAGGGCTTGTTGGGTTCCCAGGCCACCGCAGCTTCAACAATGAAAATTGTGGTTAGGGTTTGGTTTGTGTTAATGTGATTCTAAAACACAACACAATGGATCTCGAATAGGAAAAATAACAAGAAGAAGAAGAGAGTACCTTTGCAAGTAATGACTTGACCTTTAGTTGTTGCCATTGAAATGAAATGTGAGATGAGACTCGAGAGACCACAACACTAATCAACAACACACACCAATAACCAATTATCAAGTTTATGTCTTATATTTTACGTATTTCAAAATAAAATAAAATAATAATAATAATAATAATTTTAGCAATTGGGGTGAATAAATTTTGTGGGCTTGTCATCTAGCCCAAAAAGCTGGTGAACTTTTAAAGACTCAAGCTTTGGGTTGAATAAATTTTACATTTTTTGGGCTGAAAAAAATGTCCATTACCTTTTTCTCTCTTCTCTCAAAGACTCAAACGTCAAACCCAAACTTTGCCACGAAGCTTTGGAGTCCAGGCACCACGCTAATCAGCCAGCATCAAATCAACAAGAAGGTGAACTTTTAATTCAGATTCTCTCCTAATGGTAATAATTGTTGAATAATGTAACTGATAGATGACCGTTATAACCGCCGATTCACGTGAATCAGAATCTGCCGTGACGCCGACGTTTTGAGGTTGCGATTTACGATATTTTGTGAATTACATTCAATTCCGATTGTAGGATTCTCAATCCTAGTGTTTTTTTTGTACTTTTCTTTGTTTGTGATTTTGGCTTCGTAAATCTAACGGTGGACAAGAAACAACGTTTGCTTGTGTTGTAGTTATAGATATTATTTTAGTCCTTTTGAGGGACTAATATGAGTCTTTTTTGAATTTGTGAGGGACCACGATTTCAACTAAATGGGTCCATTTTGAATTTCTTAGGGATCACGAATAGCTTTTTTATTTGCTAGGGACTAAAGCGGGCATCGTAAAATTTGTTGAGGACCAAAAAAGGTATTTATTCTTTTTTTTATTGAGAATGAGGTGGATGGTATTTATTGTCTGTCTGTTGGATTTATTCAATTATGTAAGTGCCAACCAATCTATGTATTATTTGAATGAACATGTGATGGACTTGCTTGACTCACTATCTGTCATTTGTTATGCAACAGGTGCCTTTTCTTTGGTGATGTTTCTTCTAAGAGAGATCCATCAGCATACTTAAATTACGTATTTGCTATATATGATTATTACCGAAAGAAGTATTGCATCTTTGATAAGGGAGAAAATCCAACTAGGATTGAGTTGCCTCTTATTGTGAATACTCCTGGCTGGGTGAAAGGTAAGCTCACTTCTTTTGCAGTTATTAATCTGATTATTTTTAATCCTGCATTTGTATTTTTACTGCACAAAGACTACTGCTTTCCTAGAATATTAATAATATATCATCTGTTATGGTATTCATTCAATGGATTCTTCATTTCCCTTACATCTCAGGTGTTGGCTATGACGTATTAGTGGACATGTTGAAATATATTCGTGCAACAAATGTAGTTAAGATCAGCATATCCACTGAAAGTAAGAATTTACCTGCTGGTGAATTCTGGTTAGATGGGGAACATGATGGAACAGTTAACTTAATTGAGATAAATTCAGCTCGTCAAGACTCATTAAAGAGATCGTAAGCCTAAATTTCATCAGAAAGTTATCAATTGAAGATGCTAGTTTGGTCCCTTTATTTTTCAATTTTTATGCATCAAGTATCATAGAATATACCTATTTGTTTTCCCAGGGTGCTTGTTCTGAAGGATGCATCTCTCCTGCGCGATTTACGAATAATGGCTTATTTCAGACAGTGCTTTCCTAGTGATTCAAATATTTCTACAATCAAGGAACTTGCACACTCCTTGGCCTCTCATTGTTCTTATGAAGTTCCAATTACATGCATAAAGATTCAACATCTTCATTGTGAGGTTGGTTCAAATTTTACTTATTATCTCTGAGTCACCTTGGTGCAACAGTATGGTTGCTGCCTTGTGACTTGATGATGGTCACAGGTAGTAGTTGCAGAAACAGCCTCTTCACTCTGAGTGAATATAAAGTTGCGTACATCTAACACTTACAAGCCCTACAATGATGGAGTCTCATGACTGAGCTGCCCTTTATATGTTCTGTTTTGATGCATTTGATCTATTTCAATTCCAATCCCACTTTGAATTTTAAATCTTTTTTAATATAAACACAAATTTTGTAAAAAAATTGTTTTCTTGCTAGGAATTTCAACTATATTTTTTATATATGAGGAGGACTTTTTTTTATAGTCTAACCATATTTTTGTAGGTTCCAAGCTCTGAAATATTCTACAGTTTGAATGCTAGCATTGTTGGCTTAGCAGTTGATTCTGAAGGACCTGGAAATTTACCTTGGTGTCTTGGTCTTGGTAGGTAATTTGGCATAGCTTTTCATTGGATCCCATATTCTGTTAGTCGTAACACGTTTATCAGCGTCTCTTAACTTTGCAATAACATCTCAACTGTGATATATCTCAAGGGACCTCTCACCTATTTAGGCTATCATACTTCCACAAATACAAAAGATAAAGAATTAAAAAAGTGATATTCCTCTCTTAGCTTTATTTATTTTTTTGATAACTTGGAATTGTTTCTTTTAACAATAACAACAGATCATACAGATGTTTAGTCTCGTAGTTGTTATTCATTTGGATAATTCCATGCATCTTCACTGTTAAACACATTTTGATTTCTTTTGATTAAGGGATTGTGAGGGGCATTGACACAGTCAAACGTGTGCTCTATGTGATTACACCTGTGCCACATAGTTCTCTGGAAAAAGTCAACCTTTTGCTACAGGGTTATATCCAAATTCCTACTTGTTTATTGCAGGTAAGTGATTGTTTTATGCAATTTTATTTTCTTCTTGACATAATTTTATAGAAACAAAAGATACTTTGTCAAAGTGTAACCAAGCTTTCTTTTGTTTTCTTACGGCTTTGATGATTAGTTGTTAAAATGTGTTTTGTTAAATATTAGAAAAGGATTGTTACCATATGTGTGTGTGTGTGTATTAGAGAGAGGGAGAGGGACAGAAAAGGAATCTATAATTTCCAGTCTTTTTGTCATGGCAGGGGTGTGCAAAAAAACTGGTTCACTTGCCTTGCCCTTGATCCGACCTTGACCCGACCCATAAATATCCATATTTTTTGAATTGGTTTAAATACTGACCCACTTTTATTTGTGTCAGTTTTAGACCTGACTCGTTTTAATATTGACCCACTGACCCAAAACTTGACCCATACCCATTATGTGAAAAAAAAATCACAATTACATTAAAAGAAAAGTTTTAACGTAAAACAATTACGTCAAAATTTTTTATGGAAAATATTTTCATAAAACTTTTCGCAAAAATTTTTGACGAAAAATATTTTCATCAAAATTTGTGAGTAAAAACATATCGGTAAAAAAATTTGACGGAATATTTCTTTTGTCAAATATTTTTACGGAATCTAAATTTCGTCAAAATATTTCACAAAAAAATATATTCATAAAAACTTTCGACGAAACACATTTTCATCGAAATTCTTTGACGGAAAAAAATTTCATCAAAATTCTTTACAGATTTCAAATTTCGGCGAAAGTTTTCGACAAAAATATTTTCGTTAAACTTTTTGACATAAAAAAATTTCGTCGAAATTTTTTAGCGAAACGCATTTCTATCAAAAATTCTCGACTAAATATATTCGTCAAGTTTTTTGATAAAGAATATATCTATCAAAATTTTCAACGGAACACATTTCTGTAAAAAAAATTCGTAAAATTTTTTGACAAAAATATTTCGATAAGAAATTTTGACACAAAAAATATTTTGTCTAAATTCTTTAGAGAATCTAAATTTCGTCGAAAGTTTCAAATGAAACATTTTCCATTGAAAATTTCGATGAAACACATTTCCATCAAAAAATTTCGACGGCAAAAAATTTCATTAAAATTCTTTAGAGATTTCAAATTTCGGCGAAAGTTTTCGACGGAAATATTTTCGTCATCAAAAAATTTTGACGTCAAAAAATTTCACCGGTAAAAAATTTCATCAAAATTCTGTACAGATTTCAAATTTTGGCGAAAGTTTTCGACGGAAACATTTTCGTCATCAAAAAATTTTGACGGCGAAAAATATCGACGGCAAAAAATTTCATCAAAATTCTTTACAGATTTCAAATTTCGGCGAAAATTTTCGACGGAAATATTTTCGTCATCAAAAAATTTTGACGGCAAAAAATTTCATCAAAATTCTTTACAGATTTCAAATTTTGGCGAAAGTTTTCGACGGAAACATTTTCGTAATCAAAAAACTTTGATGGCAAAAAATTTTGACGGCAAAAAAATTCATCAAAATTCCTTACAGATTTCAAATTTCGGCGAAAGTTTTCGACGAAAAAATTTTCGTTAAATTTTTTGACAAAAAAAAATTTTCGTCGAAATTTTTAGCGAAAAACGTTTCCATCGAAAATTTTGAACTAAATATTTTCGTCAAGTTTTTTGATAAAAAATTTCCATCAAAATTTTCAACGAAACACATTTCTATAAAAAAATTCCGTAAATTTTTTTGACAAAAAAAACATTTTGACGAAAAAATTATTCTGTCAAAATTCTTTAGAGAATCTAAATTTCGTCAAAAATTTCAAATGAAACATTTCCCTCGAAATAATTTCCGTCAAAATTTTCGTCAGAACATACTCCCATCGAAATTTTGAACAAACATTCTGTCAACTTTTTTGACAAAATTCTTTTTTCGTTTAAAACATTTAATGGAAGAAATCATTTTCGTCAAAACTGTTGACGGAAACTAAATTTCAATAGAAATTTTTTTTTTGTAAAAATTTCGACGAAAAAATAATTTTGTGACGAAATTTTCGTCTTTTGCAACGTAAAAATGTTGACAAAATTTTGTGAGAAAACCAAGTCAAAAACGGGTCAGGTCAGATTTGACCCAGTTCAGAAACCAAGTCAGACCCACTTCATAAACCAAGTCAGGTCAGATCCAAACTTGTTCTGAACTAGTTCAACAAAATCCAATCCAAGTCAGACCTGACTTAGATCAAATTAAAGCGGGTCGGGTCAAAATACCTGACCTATAAAAACCAAGTTGGGTCGAGTCGGACAAAAACCTGACCCGACCTGACCCATGCACAACCCTAGTCATGGGACTGTGGCTTGGACTGGGTGCTGTCTGCTCTTTCATAATTCTAGAGAATCTTTTATTCTTGTTAAAGATTTATTTAAATTATCTTATAATACCTTTCTAGATCTGTTTCCTTATTTTAATAGGTTTTAGTCTTCTTGATTGTTAGCTTGGGCTTATGCTAGGAGTACTAGTACTTAACCTGATTATTAGTATGAATATGAGTTTTACATTAAGGCATTGTAACACATCACATCCTTCAATAATATTTTCAGTTTATTTCCTTGGGACACATCCATCAAGATATTGATTCGTTATTGTCATTTTTATTTCTGTTTCACGATATCTATTGTTAATGAATGACTTTTCTTCTCATAAAAAAAACGACTTTTTTTCAGGTCCAGGGATGCGTATCACCTTACATTTCAGCAAATGCTTTAACTTCAAGCTAGTTATTTTCTTGAGTTGGCAAAGACGACAATTATAGTAGTAGCTAACTCCATATAGTTATTATAGGTGCTTTCTTTCCAAGGTAGAAGCACGTGGATTTCAATTTAGATATTCTTGAGAATATATGTATATATTTTTTCTTTTATGAAATTCTAACAAAATTTTAGGAAGAGGATGTAGATTTGTTTCTCTAATTAAATATAGGAATGACAAAATTGGGTTGATTCCTAGCTGTTCTATTAATATTTTCTTTTACTGAAAAAATGTCTTGGATATAACTTACAAGCTATTTATCCAATTCTCTACTTAAAAAAAAATTGGTAATTTTGTTTTGGGTTATTTCTATATAGCTACATATGTGGCTCTGTTGCATTAAAATTATGCTCACGACAACTGGCAGTGTGTTTAATCCCCTTCAAGCTTCGGCTATGTATTATTCTAATGATCGATTGATGCATCCGTTGCTTGCAGACCAGTCAAGAAAAAAGGGACGTAGTTGGAAAGACGTCATTTGGTTGGCAAGTCTGGCAAATGTCATTCGAAGAATATGGCTGTTAATTTAAGGTTGTGTGCAGAGACTAATAAAGTTTTAAGTGTTGATTTTAGAATTATAGATGAAGTGATGAGTGAAACGAAAAATTGTTTTTTTTTAGAAAAGTGTTTATCTTTTTAAATGACATAACTTGTGTCATTTCACTCTCACAAAGAAGTGGGATTTACATATTTAATTTTTTTTGTCAATTTTTTCTCTTCCTTTATTTATATCTTTCTCTCTCTTAAAATGACATAATTTTACATCTTTTAAAATGATACACAGTTTTCCGTTATTTTTTGTAAGATACATGACTATAACATTATTTATCTTAGGTGAATTGGGTGAGCCTTGGTTTGATAGTTGAAGTTACTACCTCCGCTCACATGGGTAGGGCTGCATATCGATCTGTTCTGGTGGGAGCCTAGCGAGCAAGAATATTATCCCTGTACTTTTTGTGTGATTCCCTTTTGCACATAACTTTTATGGAAAATAATTATCTTATGTTGCATGAGATAACTATCTCATGCAATAGAGACAAAATAGTGGGGTCTATTATTATTATTTTTTTTTTTTTTCAAAAAAGTTATGGACCCTATTAATTTATCTCTGTTACAATTATCTCATGCAACATGAGATTAATAAATCCCGACTTTTATAGGGGGAAAGTGGGGAGAGAAAGTGACTGGGGAAAGTGAGGTGATGTGTGGTTTGTTGTTTGTTTTTATGTTATCAATTGTTTCTTTTTTCTGAGATATTAGGTGTAAAAGGGAAATGTAAAAAACAAAGTGTACGATAAACATTTTTGGCCTTGTAAGCTCTCTGAGTCTCTATGTTAATATTGGATAAACACAGGAATCAATTGTAAAAGGAAAAATAACTTAATTGATCTGGTTCAATTTTAGAACATTACTCTTTTTTGTTCTAGCCCATTCCCAGTAGGTACATGTTTTTTGCAGGCAAAGTCTATAATACTTTTAGATCTAGTTTCGCATGCTTAATATGATACATTATGATTTTGTTAGTTGTTTGGTATAAGCACTGAATTGTTTTAAGTTTACCTAGGAAAGCTCTTTGATACATTAAGGTGTTGTTTGGTAGGTGTGTTTCTTTTAGATTCCTGGAAAAGTGTTATTGGAATTTTAATATATCTATGTTTGGTAGAAGAAATGTAAATTTTTTCCCATGATTCTGATTTAGCCAGGGTTTTGATTGTAGTACAAAATATTAACCAAAATACCATCTAGAAAAACCTCAAAAAATGTGGAATTCCTAGAATCTGGTCTGTGGAAAAATTATACATAATTTTTGAGACTTCTGTACCCTTGCTTTTATCGCTGCTGAACTGATGGACGCTAATATCGTTTTAGTTGTTTTTATGGTTTCTTCCTTGTTCAAACTGTTCATGATATTTCCTTGCGCTGGTTGTGGTTGTTTGCGCACTTGACACCTTGCGCTGCAATTGCGTGTGGTTTGATTTGTCCATTGGAAATAATAACATCAGAGAGCTTTGGTTGTTGCTGGTCTTCGGAAAGAGAGTTACTAAACTGAAATGCTCTCAGACCAAAAGCATACCGTGCCAAATGTATAAACATTCTCGTTAATATTACACCATCAACCAAACATAGATTCAGTAGTAATCTTAATGGTAATATTTTCATCTATCAAATAACTTTTTGTTAACATTCCCAAAAAACTCACTTTTCTATTAAATTCTCGAAAATCATGATTTTCAGATAAATTTTTTTTCTCTCGTACCAAATGCTCCTTAAACTTAATAGATATCAATTCAAGTTTACCCATGAAAGCTCTTTGATACATTAAACTTAATAGATATTTGTGAGTGGGATTCTGCTTTATTGAATTTAGATAATTTAATGTATAAACTACCCCATTACAAACCGTAAACACTCCAATGTCTACAATACTTTTTTTTCCCCTCTGGTTGGAACAACCTTTGATTCAGGTTAAGGCAGTAGTGGTTGCTTTTGGGGGAGATTTGAAGGGGATTGAGCATTTGTCGAAGGAGAGTGTTTAACATCAATAGTAGACCTTGACTACCAAAGGTCCGAACTGCTCTCCATCTCATTGCCTGAGAGAATATAGATGCTTCTGATTGTTGGAGTAGTATGGTAATTTCAACTTTTCAATTATTTTCCTAGAGGGTAGAGGAAAAAAAATCATCCGGAAATTACGATTTCTAGGAAGATGGTGGGAGAATGACTTTTTTAGAAATATTATCAAAAAGCTGTTTAGTAGGCTAAAATATTCTTACGAATGTGGAGTCAATTTTCTTGATGTTGTATTTGGCCGATTGTCAAATATTACTGGAAATGTGGGGTAATTTTACAAAAATAACCTCACCTTCTAACAAACAGAAACAGAAGCAGAAAAATAAAGAGATAGAACAACAAATAAAAAAAGACTGATAGTAACATTAGTAGAAATAATAATTGGTTGTTATAATATCCTATCCCTATTTCTTATTATCAAATTTTAACCGTTAATTTTTGTGAATCAAATTGTTATAATTCGTTGAATCATATTTATTAATTAATTATTAATTTTTAATAAATTATAATCTTTAGATGGATGAAAATCAACAGTTAAAATTCAGTAATAAGAGATAGTAAGAAAAAAGATACTAAATATAACATTTCCTTTAATTTATAGAAAAATTTAAAATTAAAAAATAACTTGTCGGGTCAACCCAACCCGACCTATTATCAACCCGTTTTAATTCATTTATAAACTGGGCGGGTTGTATTGGGTTAGTGAGTTGAGAGTCATAACTCAACCAGGCAACTTAGATAGGTTATACAGGCTCACCGACATGTCAAACTGCTTTTGCCAACTCTTCCATATATTGTTATATCTTATATAATAATAATAATAATAGTAATAATAATTATTATTATTATTATTTTAGCATTTGGACTTAATATTTTTTTTGGCTTGTCTTCTAGCCAATCCACTAGAGGCTCTTCTTTAAGTTAAAGTCATACGTGGAACAGATTTACTAATTCTTTGATTTCAGTTAGTAAGATAAGAGTTGAACTAATAAATAGATTATATTCTAAAAGCTAAAAAAAGAGTATCGTGAGCAATTTCATTAATAGGGTTCATTGATACTATTCGTATAGTAGATGCTATCACACATACAATAATATTCAATTTGATGAAATTGTTTGATATTAAAGGGATCTTCTATAATTTCGCATGTGAGGAGTTATATTTAATATTTATTTTTTAAAAAAATATAGAATTATATTATTTTAATTGAAAAAAGACACAAGTAATAAAAATTGTGGAAGAAGAAAATGGGTAATTTTTTAATTCAAATTTTAAATAAAAATATTAATTTATATCTTTCTCTCACTTAAAATAAGTCCTTTTAAAATGATAAATATTTTTTCAAATAATATATGCTGAAATATTATTAGACCAATCTACACATTTGTAGATGCGATATTAAGTTAAGCGTGCCATGACCAAATGAATTATAATTTAGGTCAGTCAATACATGTGAATACTTTTAAATTAGAATATAAATTCTTTCACTTTTACGAAGATTTATAATCATATATAATAAAGGAAAGGATATTGTGACAATCAAGTTGTGTTACTACCAAGTGACTACCAATCAATTTCACCGTTAGATCAATTATGTTGATCCAACGGTTATATTTATTTCCATCTTTATATGGTCATGATTCCCCATATTTAAAGTGAAAGCATTAAATATGAGAAATCATAACCATACAAAGGTGAAAATAAATATAAAATATTAAATTTAGAAAATCATGACCATACAAAGATGGAAATAAATATAACCGTTGGATCAACATAATCGATCTAACGGTAAGATTGATTGGTAGTCACTTGCTAGTAACACAACTTGATTGTCACAATATCCTTCCCGTATAATAATTAACTTACGCGGAACGAAAAATAATAGAAAAGTGAAACGAAGCGTTTTAAGCACTGAGAAGAAGATACGAGCCCTCTGATCTGAATGGTGTTGTTCGCACATCGTGTTAGGGTTTAGGGTTTGTCCCTCTCCCTCGATAAAACAGAATATCGACGACGGGTTCTTCTCTGCTTCCATCGAAAGATATCGTGGTCATTTGTTTTTTCTTTCACAGTAAGGGTTCTCTTTCATACTGCTATTATTATTATATCGCTCTAGAATCATACCCATATCTAATCGCTTCAATTTTATTTTTATTTTTTTTATTATTATTGTTGTTGACTATTCGGGTCACTTTCTTCAACTTTCAATATCTTATTATTATTATTATAGGCTAATTTTATGATTTCAGATTGGCCTCGGAGATTATTTGCATGAAAAGGCCCCTATGAACACTTCTAAGTTTTCATTATAATTTCTTCAATTGCTGAAAAGATAGTTATATGTATCAATTAAATGGTTTTTTTGTTAATGTGGATGCTTATGGATTAGATGGTTGATTATGACTTGTGTTATATAAGCAGGATATTTTGAATTTAAGGCTGAAGCGAACGGAATTATGGCGGATTTAGAAAATCTGCTTTTGGAGGCTGCGGGGAGAACTGGGAGAAACCGACACTCTCTTCCACCTTCAAGAAGAGGGCATGATGGTGCATATTCGGATGGTGGAAGTGATTCTAGGGAGGATGATTCGGATGATGAGCTTAATTATCAAGGCAGAAAGCCCCCTGGCTCGCAAGTTCCCCTAAAGAAGAGGTTGGATCAGACAGAAAGAGATGATGATGATGATGATGATGATGATGATGATGATGAAGGAAGTGAGGAAGAAGGGGATGATGACAACGAGGGCGATAGCAGTGATGAATCTAATATTGGCGATGATCTTTATAAGAATGATGATGACAGACGGAAGCTTTCTGAGATGACTGAATTTCAAAGAGAGATGATATTGTCAGATAGGGCTAGCAAGAAGGATGATAAAAAATTATTGGGGAAGATAGCATCAAAACGTGAGAAGGGAAAGACAACTGTACCCAGAAAACAGACTCCACCCCTCCCTTCATCTCGTGTGCGTTCATCAGCCAGATCTGCTGACAGGTCAACTGCCAAGGATGATGCATTAAATGAATTGCGTGCAAAGCGATTGAAACAGCAAGATCCAGAAGCACACCGCAGGCTAAGAGAGGCATCTAGAAGTTCAGGGCCCAGGCATTTTTCACCAAAACGCAAACCTTTCACTTCAACAAGTCTTAGTAGCTCAAGCCATAGTGATAGTGAAAGTAGGTCCCGCAGTGATGACCAAGGTTCAACTGGAGAAGGAGGAATTATTTACAGTGATGATGACAGGGCATTATCTGGATTTGAAGGGCCTTCATTCGAGGATATAAAAGAAATCACCATTCGCAGGTCAAAACTTGCAAAATGGTTTATGGAGCCTTTCTTTGAGGAGTTAATTGTTGGTTGTTTTGTAAGAGTTGGTATTGGTAGATCAAAATCTGGGCCTATCTACAGGCTCTGCATGGTGAAAAATGTTGATGCATCAGATCCTGATCGGCAGTATAAATTAGAGAATAAAACCACATACAAGTACTTGAATTTAGTCTGGGGAAATGAAACTTCTGCTGCGAGGTGGCAAATGGCTATGGTTAGCGACTCTGCTCCACACGAGGAGGAGTTTAAACAGTGGGTTAAGGAAGTAGAACGAAGTGGTGGCCGGATGCCATTCAAGCAAGATGTGTTAGAAAAAAAACAAGCTATAGAAAAGATCAACACATTTGTTTACTCTGCAGCTACTGTGAAGCAGATGTTACAAGAGAAAAAATCTGCCTCATCGAGGCCATTAAATGTTGCAGCTGAGAAGGACAGGCTGAGGAGGGAATTGGAAATAGCACAAAGTAGGCATAATGAAGTTGAAGTGGAGAGGATCAAGACAAGACTGCAAGAATTGGATGCATCCCGGCAAGCTCAGGAGAAGGATGCTAAGGCTTTGAAGCTTGCTGAGATGAACAGAAAGAACAGGTTTGAGAACTTCAAAAATGCATCCAAATTGAAGCCAGTAAAGACAGGTTTGAAAGCAGGAGAGGCAGGTTACGATCCATTTTCAAGGAGATGGACTAGATCAAGGAACTACTATGCTTCAAAACCTGGTGAAGAGGCTGCAGCTGGAAATAACAGTGCCAGTGGCGCAGTGGCTGACACAAGCAGCAATGGGATGGGAGCAGCTGTAGTAGCGGAGACAGGCATGGTGGCTACTGCTGCGGCTTTGGAAGCTGCTGCTGGTGCTGGAAAGTTAGTAGACACAAGTGCTCCGGTGGATCAAGGTACAGAGTCAAATATGCTACACAATTTTGAGCTGCCAATATCATTAGCTCTACTCCAAAAGTTTGGTGGAGCCCAAGGAGCTCAGGTAGGATTTATGACAAAAAAACGAAGAATTGAAGCAACTGTTGGATTTCGAGTCCCAGAAAATGATGGCGGGAGGCATGCGCTGACATTAACAGTTAGTGATTACAAGCGAAGAAGAGGGCTTCTTTGAAATTTGTTGAACTAAAAAATTTAATCAGCCTGACACTTTTTTAAGGTGAAGTTAGTTTGTATTATCCGTAGTACTGTTGTGCCCGTAAATAACTAAATATCTTGAATCTTTTCATGCGATCATTGTGTTTTCCTTTCCTTTTTTCCTTTCCCAAAATTTAAAGAAAATTGATAAATCCAAGTTAACTATGTTTATATGATTTAACATTGGTTTTTACTGGATGCTTGGAGGAAAGCGGGATAGTAATATTGTTAAAAATATATTTCTTGCATAATTTTTGTTTGTTTCAATATACTCTTTAGAGTCTGTACCTATGAAATATACACACTTTAAAAATCCTGGCGTGTCGTCTTCGACATTTCCCGACACTCTAACACTCCAACACGTGTTATAGATATTCAAAAAAAGGTTCAAAGGTTACATTGTATTGAGTTTTTAGTTTTAACTATTAGATTTGTTGGATTACGATTACCATTTTATTGAGTTTAATATAAATATTTGGGATATCTTATGATTCTTTGCAAAATTGATGAATATTATAAGTTTAGTTTCATTTTTTTTGTTAAATTATTGAATATTAAATATAATATACACTACATAAATTAAAAATATTATTTAATATCAAAACGTGTCCTAACATGTTGAAATTTAACATTTTTTAGAATTAACGTGTCGGCGTGTCGTATCGTGTATCGTGTCTCGTGTTAGTATTAGTGCTACGTAGGTACATTGAGGAATATCCAGAACGGTATTTAGGGAGTCGCTCTGATTCTATCTGTTTGTTCCGTATTAAATACACTTATACATTTTCCTATACTTTTGCTCAAGCTTATTTTCTAGGTAAGGATATGTTTTCAAAACGTTATCAACGAGTTGCTCATTGGCTTTAGTTTACTCAGTCCTTCCTTCATCTTTCACTCAATGGATTGCAGACAAAGAAGGACAAAATGAGAAATGCAACTTTGACGTAGATAGCAGGTTCAAATATGTGTGTGGTTAAGATGCCTGTTTAAGGGCAGTTACTGCTAGCAGTAATCCAAGACAAACCCCTTCGAATTGAAGTCCAGATTTGTGGCCAAATTCTAAATATTCGCCCTTCAAAACTAGTGAGTAGTAAGTCACTTCACTGTGATGAGGTTTTGTCTAAATTTTAGCTTATCAACATTGAAATTTGAGTTTAATTTTAATCTGATATTAATGTATTTTAAAATTAAAAAAAAATAGTATCATCACCAGAAGAGCATGACCTTTTTGACAAATATTGTTATAGGCAACATTAAATTTTGGACGTCCTTTAATATTACGTAAGGAAATTTACTAGGATGTATTAACATTCCTTAGTTTAGCTTCCTATTTATAATAAACGGCAAAATTGTAACGATTGATGAGAAAATCAACGGGTGAAATTGGGCTGCTCAATGCTCAACCTGGCCCATCCTAAAGTTATTTAAGCCAGATTCAGGTTCTAAAAAGTATGCTTACTTTATTTTGTGGGTTTTAGATAACGTTACGCTTTGGGTTAGAATGGTTCGGCTTGATGTTATATAATACTTTAAGATATATATATATATATATATATATATATATATATATATATTGAAGACCAAGTATAAATTATAAGCCTTCTTGATTTAATATCTTATCCATAATATACTGGTTTTTTTTTTTTTTTTTTTTTTTGGTAATCTCATATAATATAATTTTTTTAAATAAATATACAATTTGATTAGAAATATAGATTATAAAACATTCCTTAGTTTAGCTTCCTATTTATAAAATTTATGACTTGAAAATAGTACTGTTTAAATTTACATTTTTGTTTCTAAATTTGCAAGACTAATATGAATTTTTGTTTATCACACTTTAGTTCCTAAGAATGATTAACTTGATACGAATTATGTAAATTCAGGAAATAAATCGTAAACTTAACTAAATTAATCAATTAATATTCTAAATATTAAGTTGCTAATTTACTTTAGAATAAACTGCAGAAAAAAAATAGTAAATGACGTTATGCCGTATTTTGTTGGTAATCATGAACTTTCGAGAAAGAAGATAATTATACTCCATTGTTATAATTGGCTAATTTATCACCAGTTTTAAGGTTTTTGAATCTTTCAAGAATTTAAGGGAATAAGTTGTATGTGTTTCAAAAACGATTGTAAAATGTAACGTTTTAGACTTTGTATATTAAAATTGGCTTAAATGAAATTTTTTAAAGAGGTATAGTGTAATTTAATTTTTTATCTTTTAATGAAAAATAAGGAGCAAACGCTTTAAGTTCAATACCACTTTGGCTATGGCCTCAGTGGTAACCCTTTAAAAAAACTTGTTCTAGTACAACTTATTGAAGCAATTATGGATTTTCAAAATATATTCCATACAAGGTAACTATTACATTGTGTTGACTAAATTCTTTTAATGTGCAATTGAATGGTAATTATCACACAGATTTTTTTTATTTGTAAAATAGGGAAAATTTCATTTAACTCGCATTAGAATTTTTTTTCAAGTATATCTTAATTTGTATAATTGTCTAACTCATTGTATTTATATTTTTATTATTTTTTTCTTCGATATAGTTCTTCATAATTTCTTATTAATATTTTGGTCCTTCAAGAATCGATATCTTATTAAGCTAAATCATTAAAACAATATTTCATAAAAAAATAAAATTTATTTTCATAAATTTATATTACAAAGACTAAAAGATGAATAAATTAAAAAATGGGAAACGAAAACTTAAAAAGAAAGAAAGAATAAACGTGTTTACCAAAAATAATTAAAACTAAACGCAAATTAATATAATTATGATAATCAAGATTTACTTCGATTGTCAACCACTTTAAAAGAATAAACACAAATTAAAATGCGATGCAGAGGTTATAAATAGGGATGCAAAACGAGTCAATCCGGCTCGACCTGGCCTAACCCGTTTGTAACCAAAAAAAACAAATCGAGTTTGGGTTGTCTCGGAAAAAGAAAGAAGACAGAAAACCCAACCCGAGTCGGGTTAGGATTAACTTGTGGGTTGACTCAAAAAATAGGGAAAAATAATTTTTGTCACACTCATCTCGTACATGTGGTGAGAAAGCTAAGGAAATGATTTTAATTTGATATAAGATATTAACTAATAACTACAAAAGAAAACACTTAATATAATAACTATTTACTAGCCACTAAATACGCTAAACATAGCACATATGCATACTTAAGTGCTTGTATTTTTCATCAAAGAGAAACTACAATGTCTAATTAAACTAAAATATGATTCACAGTACAATGATACATTTGATTAACACTACATATAAAATATTTATCTAATGTGTCATGTTACCAACTTACCATGTAATAGAATTTGTAAACGAAGAGCATCCCCAGCAAAAAAAGACCATGGAGCCCAATCACAGACAAGAACAATACAGCAGTGAGCAATCATGTCACTTATTATTCTTTTACATTTTTTTAATAAATAAGAAAAGAATAACCCGTGAGCTAATCTGTTTGATCCGCGAATTGGCTTGGTTTGTTTTAAGCTGACTCGAGTTGTCAGCTCATTTTTGCCAATCCAATCCAGCTCATTTTTGCCAATCCAACCCAGCTCATTTTATGCAGGTTACAAGCCAACCCGACGTATTGGCTCATTTTTACCGTACCTAATTATGATTGATTGGTTTTTTTTTTTCACATATTGATATGAATATTATATGCTAAAGATTGTAAGGTACATAAAAAAAAATTGATTTTTTTTTTTAAGGAAATTTGAATGTAATAAATGTTACTAAATTTAAATAGAAGATTAAAGACTCGTGTATTAAAGTTCAAATCTTTTTTTTTTGTATGAAAAAAGTTCAAATCTTTTGATACACTTCTTGGTAAATAACATTGTTAGTTTTTTTTTCACATGAATTTCCATTTTCATCTAAAATTATAATCTTCAAATGATTCCTAATTTTTACTCTAGAAACAACAACATATAGTTATCCATGAGTAAAAACACGCTTTGATAAGAATAGTCCGACATAAGAAAGAGATTGACCTGACTCTTATTAATGGTCATGGCAAAGCATAAACTAGTTAGAAATTGCCTTCTTTCGAATATCAAAGGAATGCCTGAATCTGACGGAATCATGTTCATTGGTGGAATGTAAACTTTATGGCCAATATAATTTTGCTGAAACAACAGTTGCACCAATGATGTTATTTCTTAATTCTTCAACTATCAGTCTCGTTCCATTGCACAAGCCAAAAGATTGGTCTATATTTGTAACATCCTCCTCTCGAGCCGGTTCAATTAACATACATATGATACTAAAACATGCATTAATAACATACATATGATATCATATAAAGAACCATTTTAACCCAAAATCGTAACGTGTTGAGTGAGGACCTTTTTAATGATTTATATTATTCTCTCACAAAACATATATTCATAATATTTATTATTATATTTATTGGGTTGAAAAATATTTAATATTTAATCCTCAAACTTTTTAATTTAAATTTTGAACTTGATAATTAGGAAAAAAGTTCAGCATTCAATGTTTCTCCAGTGGAAAAAAAAAAAAATATATATATATATATATATATATATATATATATAATAAATTTAAATATAATACAAAATTATAGATTAAATGAAAAAATAATTAAAATTATAAAAATATATGTAGAGTTGATAAAAAATAATTTAAATTTGAAATTTAATTGCAAAAAAATAAGAATGACTTATTTATACTTTAAAAGAAAATAAAGTAAAAATTTAACTTAAAAAATAATTCAAAAAAAATTAAATTTAAAAAATTTATACTTTTATGATTTGCGTTAATTTTTACGAGACGGATAAATCGATTTCTTTTTTCCCACATGCACCGGACGGGCAATACTCTAGTTTGTGTGTAAAAAAATAGTGACACATTCTTTCTTGTAGAGATTAATAAACAATGGTCGCTGACAAAAATTTTAATTTTTTTTCGTGCATCGCACGAATAATTTACTAGTTATTTATATAAAAGTAACCAAAAGTTTAATTGCTTTTATTTTTTTCTCTTTTCTTAAAGTTCATATTAAACCCATCTAGAACTTCGATTTTAATGATGTCATAGTATTGACTAGAATGGTCAGATCAATCAATTTGAGTCAAAATTTTGATACACGCGAATAAATTTTATCTTTATTATTATTATTATTATTATTATTATTAACAAATCTCCATGGTCAAATTATTTTTTCCTGGAAAGGAGTTTTGTGTAGTTTTTTAACATACAAATTCAGTTAAATTAAAATGTAAGTTTAACTTATGGAGAATCAATTTTTCAACAAGATCTTTTCGATCATATATTCAACGATTAATTTCATATGAATATCTACAAATATATCCTAATGAAAAAAACAAAAAAAACAAAATGTAGTTGTATTTCAGTATTGAAAATTTAGAGTACAAAAATTATTTCTTTCGGTATTGGAGTAATATATGTGTGGAACCTTCCCTTATTATATTTCTTATGAAAATTAATTAATTATATTTCATTAAGCAATTATTCATACTTATTTTTAATCAATTGTAAAATTTAAAACTTTTTATACTATTAGTCATACAGATTTTTTGTTCAAGAGTAACATAAATTCAACTCATGGAGAGATACGATGAGAGGGATTCCACTAGTTTATTAGTGTCTCTCACATGCAATGTGTCAATTGTGTTAACACAGTCAAAATAGGCCGATAGCAGTTTCTTGAATATTGTAAAAAAATATATTAAAACAATATGATTAAAATACATGTTTTAATAATCAATCTAAAAGTTTAATTTAAATAAAAAACAAATTAAAAAATAATAGAGAGATCAACATCATTGGTACAAATATTAGTATCTCAAAAAAACCTGAATTAGGAGACAAACACTGCAGTGGGATATATCCCACGAGGTGAAGATGCATTAATGATTTCGTTGAAAAACAGTGTTGTGATGCTTATGGGGCATGATGTGATAGGTGAACTCTTAAATTAAGGGTACCCAATATCCTCATTATTATTTTTTTCAAGGTCTTATAAAGTGTTATCCTCTTTTAACACTGCAAAAGATTCCTTCTTTCTTTCTTTTTTTCCTCTTCGAAATCCCACAGTGTATGTTGCCAAAAACTCAAGCCCAAAATTTTTCACCACAGTGCTGTAGTAAACTCTGTTCACAATTCTCTTCCCATTTCCATGGCTTCAGATTCCAACTCAAACCTTAGAATCACCATTGAAAGAAATCCTTCCCAGTCACGCCTAGCTGAATTGAACATCAAGTGCTGGCCCAAGTATGTTTTTTTTTTTCTCTATTCTGTTGTTCCATTTTTTGTTCTGTATGTGTATTCTGAAATATGAAATAATGATGACATGCATATATAAATTTTGTATCTTTTTCTTATGGGGTGGCCCAATGTGAAAAAAATGAAAGATGGGGTTGCTCTCCAGGGAAGTACCAGTTGAAGTTTGATGCAGAAGAGACATGTTATTTACTGAAAGGGAAGGTGAAAGCATACCCAAAAGGGTCGTCATCAGAGTTTGTAGAGTTTGGAGCTGGTGACCTTGTGACCATTCCAAAAGGACTCAGTTGCACTTGGGATGTCTCTGTTGCTGTTGATAAGTACTACAAATTTGAGTCAACTAGTTCTACTTCTTCATCATAATCACCATGTTGTTAGTGTTCATGAGTTTTAGCCTTTTTGATTCATTAAGTAATTATTCATTAATGAAGTTCGTTCACAGCCTCTTTGTCTAACTGTTCTTGTTTGGTTGTGTTGTGATGTTATTTGGAATGGAATTGAGATGCCTGACACAAAGGGAAAGAGATGATAAATTTAATAATTAATTTGGTCAAAGAAGGAGAAAACAAATCAGTAAATGCATGTTCATTGCTGCGTTCAAAGTTCAAACCGACCCCTATCTATACGTGTTAAAATTTTAAAACAACGCTTTTATTGTATCTTTGACTGGTCAATGATTTGGATATTTTTAGTTTTTATTTTTAGAATAATGATGGGGTCACTTCAAAGGAATTCCTGAGATTTTATAGAGGGAATGATTGAGACACTGTCTGTCATGACTATGACCCATTCCAATTCATCCTTCTTCTTCTTTCTTTACTTTTTCTCTTCTTTTCTTATATCCCTACTATCAAGCCGTTCATCATGCCTTCATGCTCACAGTTCAACAACATAATTTTAATCATACAAGTCGTAACCTTTTTCGTCCTACTCTTCTTAAAAAAAAGAAACAGATGCATATTGTTCGGCCACTTTATAAGAATAGTAAATTGGGCTCAACGCTAATAGTTTATGCTTAGAATCTTTCCTAGTAGAGTCTCGTCACATGATATTTCTTATCTTGCACTTGTTACCTATTGTACACTAATAGTCGATACAACATGTCTTGTAGCATAAGCAAGACTTTGTAGAGGTGGTACAACTTTGATATCTAAATATTTCATTCTCCCATTGAAGTGAGATATTTATTCTATTTATTTTTATGAATTGTTACTCTATTCAAATATATAGAGTCACCTTATTTCAGAATATCTGCCTGAGAAACTTTAATAGAGCCTTGGTTCATGTTATTGCTATTAAAAATATGCTTAGTAGGGGTGTTCGCGGTCTAGATTGGATCGGTTTTGAAAGCTAAAATCATCTGATCCAATACTTTCGGTTTGATCATATAATCATCCATTCGATTTTAATTTTTTTTCAAATCCGATCCGATCCAATCCAATTTTTTTCGGTTTGGATTGGATCGGTTTTCGGTTTTTTGAAAATCCTAAAATTTATTTCATTATTATTGTGAAAATAACATCTTTTGTATATATTGGCTTTGTATTTTTTTATTTTGAAATACAAAAGTATTAGTAAACTATAATATAATTTTTTTAATTTTGGCAATGAGATATGAAGCTCTACAAAGATAAAATTTTGTTGATGAGATATGACTAGATTTTTTCTTGAGTTTAATTGATGGGTTAATCGGTTTTGGGTTTAGAAATTTTTAAGCTAGGATTAAGAAAATACCCAAGTAGGTAGAGAAAAATTAATATATTGGATCGGTTTGGATTGGATCGGTTTTCATCAACTCATCCAAAAACTGATCCAATCCAATTAAAATTTGCGGTTTTTAATCGGTTTTCGGTTTTTCGGTTTTCGGTTTATTCGGTTATCGGTTTTTCGGTTCGGTCACCGCGGTTTAAATCGGTTTGGATCGGTTGATGAACATCCCTAATGCTTAGACTGATATACTTTATCCTTCAAGGGATTCATCAGTGACTCGACCAAACACAAACAGTTCAAATATTTTAACTAATTTATTTTGAATCAAAATAATTAATCGTAATTTGTTTAAATTAATTTATTTTGTGTATATAATAAGGGAAAAACATCTATTCTTTTAAAGGATAAAAGCTTATATCATTTTAGATCCTAACCGTTGATTTTCGTCTATCTACGGTTATAATCTATCGGGTCAAACTTAATGGGCCAAATTTATTATTAATTAATTAATAATTTTGATCTAATAAATTATAATCGTTGATGGACGAAAATCAACGGTTATGATCTAAAATGATATAAGCTTATATCCTTTAAAATGACAGATGTTATTCCCAAAAAATAATTAATAATTATTTTTTACTACAAATTCCAAAATATGTTTAGAGATATAATAAAATGATTTGTGTACCTTCTCCAATGATTCTCGAAAGAGTTAGTCAATTTATAATTTGATCATTGTCGCCTTTCTTTTCTAACAAATCAAGTTAAATTTCATCCTAAGATAAATTTAAAAAATTTGATCTTTGCATTATACATGCTTCAAAGCCAAAAGGATTGTTGCAAACATAAAGTTTTTATTAAAATAAAAGCAAACGTGTGCGTGATTTATTGAAAGAACTTTTGAAATTAAAAATAAAAGCAAAGTTAAATGGTGCTTGATCTTGTTCCCCTCAAATTATTCATAAGTTATTTTAAATAAGTTAAGTTATAAAAATTGTTTTAACTTCTAATAACACAACAAAAGAAAATTTGTATTTGTTGGGAGGAGGATATTTGAGAAAAGTAAAGGTGTTATAGAAAGATATGGAGGAAGAGAACACTTCTATTACTACACAACTCTTTTCTTTTTGGCTTATTACAAAATGATGGAGATGACCCCTATTTATACTAGTGGCACCTCCTCAAAACAATGACTCCAAATAATTCTAGAGTTTTCTATACTAGCCTAGTACAAATATTAATTGTGGTAGGTGCAACTACCCTCATTAATAATGATAGGTGCAACTACCCTCTAAATCTTTCACGAAATTGACTAGAATAGAAATTTTTAGATCTTGGGCTAAACTATCTCCTAAAGTATAATTCTAGATGTTGGGCTAAATGTATACTAAATCAAGTTTATTTATTTAACACCCCCCTTAAACTTGATTTTGTAACTCCAAGCAATTTTCTCATCTTGACAAAGTCTTCATTCTTGAGTGGCTTGGTGAAGATATCTGATGCGTGATCTTGAGACTTCACATATTTTATATGCACCTCATTTCTTGCAATGCATTCCCTTATAAAATGATAGTGTGTGTCAATGTGCTTACTTCTATCATGGAAGACTGGATTCTTTGCTAATGCAATGGCAGATTTGTTGTCAACATAAATATTGGTTGGCTCCTCTTGTTGCATATTCAACTCCTTTAGCAAGTTCCTTAGCCAAATGGCGTGGCAAACACATGATGTAGCTGCGACATATTCGGCTTCACAAGTAGACAGAGTGACAATAGGTTGTTTTTTTGACATCCATGTGAAAGCAGTATCTCCCATGTAGAACACAAATCCAATGGTGCTTTTCCTATCATCCATGTCTCCAGCCCAATCACTATCACTATATCCAACAAGTTTATATTCATTAGAGGATGAGTAAAACAAGCCAAAGTCGATAGTACCTTTAATGTAGCGGAGGATTCTCTTTGCAGCCTTCAAGTGAGTGGTAGTTGGAGTCTCCATGTAGCGACTAATGAATCCAACAGCAAAGAGAATGTCAGGTCTGGTGCATGTCAAGCAGCGCAAACTTCCAACTAAGCTTTTGAAGAAAGTAGGATCAACATCTTCTCCTTCATCATACTTGGACAACTTAACTCCACATTCCATTGGGGTGTTGATAGACTTGCAATCGTCCATCTTGAATTTCTTCAGTATCTCCCTTGCATAACCTTCTTGAGTGATGAAAAAACCTTCTTCTTTATGTTTGATTTCAATACTGAGATAGTATGCCATTTTTCCAATGTCAGTCATCTCAAACTCCTTCTTCATCACTTTCTTGAACTATTCAAACATCCTTGGATTGTTTCCTGTGAAGACTAGATCATCCACGTACAAGCACACGATCAAAATATCTCCATCTTTGAGCTTGACATAAAGTGCATGCTCGTAAGGGCATTTGATGAAACTATTCTCTTGGAAGTACTTGTCGATTCGACTATTCCAAGCTCTTGGTGCTTGTTTTAACCCATAAAGTGCCTTCTTCAGCTTCAATACCTTATCTTCATGTCCTTTGACTTCGTACGCTGCTGGTTGCTTGATGTACACTTCTTCTTCAAGTACTTCATTCAAAAATGCTGACTTTACATCCATTTGGTGTATGCTCCACTTGTTTTGAGCTGCTAAAGAAATAATTAGTCTAATAGTTTCTAAGCGAGCAACAGGAGCAAATACCTCATCATAATCGATTCCTGCTCGTTGACTATAGCCTTTTGCCACCAATCGCGCCTTGTATCTTTCAACTTCTCCCTTGGCATTCCTTTTAGCTTTGTAGACCCACTTCACACCAATCGCCTTGTGCCCTTTTGGAAGTGAAGCTAGGTCCTATGTTTTGTTCTTCTCAATCGCATTGATTTCTTCATTCATAGCATTTCTCCATTTCTTGCTTTGAACAGCTTCTTGAAAACTCACTAGCTCAAAATCAGCAAAGAGGCAAAATAGAGTGAGATTATCTTGATTTTCCGTTACCTCATAAATTTCTTGCAGGCTTTTGAAACGTGGTACTCGTTCACTTGAACTTCTAGATGACGATGGTTGTTCTTGAGAACTTGCAGCTGGTGAAGTTGGTGGAGTAGTTTCCTCTGATTCCATTCTTGGTTGCACATTCTCTTCTTCCTCCATAGAGTAGGGAAGGAAATTATAGTCTTCATTACATAGACCCCAATTCCATTCTTCTTCTTTGTTAAACTCCACATCTCGACTAATGATAGTCTTTCTATTGTTCGAATTGTAAAGTTTATAGCCTTTAGAGTTAGAATCATACCCGATGAAGATGAGCTTCTCACTTTTTTCATCAAGCTTGGATCTTTTCTCATCATGAATATGTGCATAGGCTATGCTTCCAAACGCTCTCAGGTGGGAGATCCCAGACTTTCTTCCACTCCTAGCTTCTTATGGCATCTTTCCCTACACACTTCTTGTTGGCGAACGGTTTAAAAGATAGACGGAAGTTGCCACGGTTTCAGCCCAAAACACTTTTGGCATCTTCTTGCTCTTGAGCATACTCCTTGCCATGTTGAGAATGGTTCTATTCTTCCTTTCAGCTACTCCATTCTGCTGTGGGCTTCTAGGAAAGGTTAAAGGTCGTCGGATTCCATTATGATCACAAAATTCTTGGAATTCTTTGGAAGTGAACTCTCCACCTCTATCGGATCTCATGGCTTTGATTTCGCATCCACTTTCTTTCTCCACACTAGCCTTGAACTTTTTGAAGACTCCAAACACCTCTGATTTTTGCTTTAGGAAATACACCCATGTATTTCTTGAGAAATCATCTATGAAGAGAAGAAAATAATTACTTTTACCGAGTGAGCTTGGCTTCAATGGTCCACAAACATCTGTATGTATGAGCTCTTGCAGCTTGTTGGCTCTTGACAAAGACTCCTTTGGAAAGCTCTTTCGACATTGCTTCCCAAGTAAACATCCTTCACATAGCTGGTCAGGTTGACTTATGGAAGGCAATCCTCTCACCATCTCCTTCTTGTATAGCAACTCAAGACCACCAAAGTTGAGGTGTCCGAATCGTAGATGCCACAGCCAAGATGCATCCTTTTGACAGGCTTTGAGACACTTTGCAATGTCGTGTTAAATGTTCAACAGAAACATTCTATTTCTTGACATAGACACCTTAGCAATCAAGTTATTTTGATTATCTCTTAAAGAAAGAGTATTATTTTTTAAGTGAACATCATACCCTTTCTCTAGGAGTTGCCCCAGACTCAAAATATTATTCTTCATGTTGGGCACATAGTACACATTAGAAATGAATTCATGCCTCCCGTCTTTTAATCGGATAAGAATCTTACATTTTCCTTTCACCGGTGTCTTTGATTCATCTCCAAAGGAGACATTTCCATTCACTGATTCGTCAAGTTCCACGAACATGTTTCTTTTTCCACACATGTGATTGCTTGCCCCCGTGTCTAGATACCATGTATTCTCTGGTTCTCCTACATTGTCGTTGCGTACCATCAATAGAATGCCATCTTCGTGACTCCTTTCCTCCACATAGTTTCCCTTCTCCTCAATTTTTCTTGTAGGAGTTCTACATTCATAAGCATAATGGCCGAACCTTTGACGGTTGTAGCACTTGATTTGAGACTTGTCACGTCTTAATTGCGAGCCACCTCTTCCACGACCTCTTGTTGAGCTCTCTCTTCGATTTTCATTGGCATAGTTGTTGTTGAAGCCTATTCTTCCACGTCCATGACCTCTTCCTCGACCACGATATCCTCCTCGTCCTCTTGTGTTGCCAAAGTCTTCTTCCTTTTCTTTGAAGTTGAGTTGTGTCTTCAGTAATTGTTCACCAATCCATTGCTTCTTCTTTTGCTTTTCCTCATATGCTTGTAAGGAGCCCAAGAGTTTCTCTATTGTCATGGCTTCCAAATCTTTTCTTTCTTCTATGACAGTGACAATATGATCAAATTTTGAATCTAAAGATCGCAAAATTTTCTCCATAATTTTTACATCATCTATCTTTTCACCATTTCTTTTTAATTGATTAGTCACCGTTAAGATTCTAGAAAAATAATCGGAGATACTTTCGGCATCTTTCATGTGTAAAGTTTCAAACTCACTTCTTAGAGTTTGAAGACGTACCTTCTTGACTGGCTCAGCACCCTTGTAAGAGGTTTGTAGCTTCTCCCATGCTTCCTTTGCGGTGACTGCCTCCGAAATCTTCTCAAAAGCATCTTCATCCAATCCTTGATAGATGAGATAGAGAGCTTTCTTGTCTCTCTTTCTTGAATCCTTCAATCTATCCCTTTGAGCTTGGGATAGAGTAACTCCATCTTATGGCTCACTGTAGCCTTTCTCTACCTCTTCCCACATATCTTGTGATCCAAGGAAGGCCTTCATCTTGATACTCCAATTATCATAGCTGCTCTTGGTGAGCATAGGGACTTGGAAATGAACCATGTTGCTACTTGCCATTTCTCTAGAAAAGGATCTTAATGCTTTGATACCACTTTGTTAGGAGGACGATATTTGAGAAAAGTAAATGTTATAGAAAGATATGAAGAAAGATAACACTTTTATTACTACACAACTCTTTTCTTTTTGGCTTATTACAAAATGATGGAGATGACCCCTATTTATACTAGTGGCACCTCCTCAAAATAATGACTCCAAATAATTCTAGAGTTTTCTATATTAGCCTAGTACAAATATTAATTGTGGAAGGTGCAACTACCCTCATTAATAATGGTAGGTGCAACTACCCTTTAAATCTTTCATGGAATTGACTAGAATAGAAATTTTTAGATCTTGAGCTAAACTAACTCCTAAAGTATAATTCTAGATGTTGGACTAAATGTATACTAAATCAAGTTTATTTATTCAACAGTATTTAGTGTGTGTGTGTGTGTGTGTGTGTGTGTGTGTGTGTGTGCATGCGCGCGTGTGTGTGCGTGCGTGTGATAAAATCATTTCTTCGGTTGCTGGATGTCCAGCAATAGGTCTTACACCGTTGACTGGTTATAATTTCACATATTTAATGCTTTCACCAACTTTTTTATGCTTATGATTTTCCATATATATATATATATATATATATATATATGAGGCAGGATCCTTTGACACCAATGTCAAATTTGAAATTTGACACCTCATCTAAAAGTCGTTAGATCAAAAAAGATCAATGGTGTCACATGCTTACAAATCAGAGTTGTTGATTTTTTTTTATCTAACGACTGTCAGATGATGTGTCAAATTTCAAATTTGACACTGGTGTCAAAGGATCCTACCTCTATATATATATATATATATATATATATATATATATATATCAATGTTATTAGAACCGAACCGGTCATTGACCCGGCCGAGGTACCGGGTCACTGGGTCAATGGTTCAACCGGTGGGTCACTGGTTGAACCGCATGAACCGGATATATATATATATATATAAATTTATATTTTATACTTAATTATATAATAAATATTTTGAATGGTGTCATCTAAACAATAACCTGATGTAGTTTAGTGGTATTTGCTATGTTGTATATCCTCAATGGTAGGAGTTCTAATCCCATTAGATGCAATTTTTGACTTAATTCTCTTAACTTAATAGTTATATATTAAATGGTGTATTTTATTCAACATAATTACAAAAATATCTTGATTTCCGCCTCAAAACGACGTCGTTTTGGGCTCACTGTAGTAGATAAGCTATCTACATTGACTGTAGAAAAACCAAACTCATATTATATATATATATATATATATATATATATATATATATATATATATATATAATAACTTTCTTCCATTCGAGTGGAACATACCACGACATGCAGAAAAGTACATAGTATCTAGATTTAGCAAGAAGAGAAAAGGACTTGCACATGGCTACGTTCATCTTTTTTTTTGGATTTCTGTCTTTTATACTTTTTCTCAGATATTCGGCATCTTTTGTTTCAGCATTCTATCAACCATCTGTTTGGATTCTTATATTTATACACTCCATCTTATTTTACTCCCTAAAACAGGTAGTTCAATTTTATAGTTCATACGAGTTGAAAAGATGTTACAACTCATACACGGAAAAATGAAATTTAACGTGAAGACAACCTCATTGAAGATGCAAAAATCAACACAACTTTTCCCACATAGGAGGGAAGACCAATAACAATTTTTGCCGTGCACCAGAATTAACACATCCCAACCCTACGTGTCCTATGATATTTTATGAATTGCATGACATGTCTCCGTCGATGTTAATTACGTGCCTATTTTGTTTTGATATATATATTTTTCTCTATTGACCCATTTATTATTATATCATCCGTCTGAAAGGTTTTTTCTTCCGCCGTTCGATTAATGCGAGTTCCACAATAAATCTGTGAATCATATGCCACTCAATAAGAAAGAACCTACATAAATTATGTACTTAAAAAAGAATATACAGGCTAATCTGAGAATAATGCCTGGCGTCAGCATGCTGTAATTCAGTGCCATGTCCTGGAAAGTAAGAGAATTTCCCGAAGACAAAATAATCTATTTCTTTTTTCTTTTTTCTGAACTACTGAACAGGATACACGTGTAGAAAGGAAGATGCCCACTTATGGGTTGGGGGAGGAGGGTTGGAGGAGCAAAAGAGAAAATACAAAACATGTTAACAAAGGATAACATTAGTACATATTCATACAATGGATAATACAAAAATATACATTTTCTGATGCAGTGTGAGTATGAAGTTCCAGGTCTCGGTTGCATGTGCTCAGCATTGGATATGGTGTTAAGTTTGTGTAGATCATCAGCAGAGACAGAGCTGCATGGGGATAAGATACCTTTCAATATCTCATGCACATCAAAAAAGGATAATTCTATGGAGAGTATACCTCTCAAGGGATTGAGCTTTAATTGGTTGAATTGGTTTTTCAATTAACGTAATTGGTTGAGTTGTTGGTTAAAAAAAAATAAAGGTAAGAGTCTCTACTCTCAGTATACATCTCGTGGAGAGAAAGCTCATTATACCTCTCAACTTCTTGAGAGGTCCACCTCTCCATAGAATTACCCTGAAACAAAATATATTTCTTTTCCCGTACTTAAGCAGAAAATTTTATCGAATTGTATGAGTTTATAATTCATTCATATAACCAAAGAAGAGAGGCAGGAGGTTGGGGTAGAAGGCTTACCATCTGAGTATTACAGATATTGTGAAGCAGATCATTGAATCCATCTCCAATCATTTGTCTAAACCTACAATTAGACAGTAACCGTGTAAGGATAATAAACTAAATGTCAATTATTGTGATCCAAATACATAATTTTGAATTAGATTCTTCTAAATTATCTTCAAAACAAAAGTTTAACTGTCATAGTTGTTTCACCCAACCAACAAAAACGTTTTTGCTAAGAACATCGAGCAGCATAGCCTATCCCTAATCCTCGTCTACGTTGATTTTTAGTACTCATCAAGCATTTATCTCCACAAAAATCAAAACCACATGTCACTTTTTATGTTGTCTATTAACATCATAAATCCCAAACAGAATCAATATATAACCTTGCTCACTGATTGACTCCAATGATGGTCTCCTCAGGAAAGTAACTAGGTCCATTGTTATTCACAGCCTGAGCACCGTCATACTGGAGGACCCTAAGCTTTCCTTCCTGGAACCTCAAGCAAAAGATTATCAATTGAAGAATGTAAGCGAAAGCAAATTGATCTCGGCCAGAAAAACCATACCTTCGTTCCATAAACTAGTCCTCCCCCAGCAAAAGGATGAAAGCATGCCACATTGACCTCATCTTCTGCACTTGGAAGCACCCTAACAAGTTCCATATCCGACACTCTGTATACCTAAAGGACAACAAATTCGGAGACATGAAATTCAGAATAAAAAAAATTTAACTACAAGGGGATAATTGAGATAATTGATAACAATGTCAGCCCATAGACTGAGACTGAGCACACCCGGTTAATCAGTAGTCAAGAAAACAGTTACACAATCTAACTTTTGTGTTCCAGAACCATGCTTACTTTGCAGCTAAAGATTATACAGACTATAACAGATGGGTGGATAAATTATTTCAAAATTGAGTCAGATGATGAAATTTTAAGAGGAAAAAAAAAACAGCATTTTACCTCTAACACTGTATATATAGGTAATGTTGTTTCTCCATCAATGACAATACTTTTAAGAAGAGAACCATGACGTCGACCATAGGCAAGTAGTATGTGCTCAGATGTAGGTGAGAACTACACATTAAACAGCAGTTGCACAAATTCAATCCACTAAAATAAGGGCTTTTCCAATTCAATCCACTCAAGAAAAATGACAGAAGTAGCTTTTAATAATTAAAGAAATTAATAAGATTAAATTTAACAACCTGTAATAAGTAATAACAAGGGGTTTACTACTCTTTCTTTTTTTGGTGTGCAAAGCACATCATGCAAAAAAGGGCACATATATGTATCTATGATTGTGTTAGAGAGAGGGAGAGGAAATTATTCATGAAACATAAATATTAAAAGAGGTATAGGTTCGTGCTGAGAAGGAAAGATAGAATTATGATTATGAGAAAGCATATTGTAACGCCCGGCCACTTGCAAGAATCAATGACTGTCCCCACACACTAACACGAGACTTTTCAGTGTGCTTTGTCCTCACTCGCACACTTCCCGGGAAAACTTCCCAGGAGGTCACCCATCCCAAAATTGCTCCAAGTCAAGCACGCTTAACTGTGGAGTTCTTCCGATCCGGGCTACCGACAAGTAGATGCATCTTGTTAGTATAGGTAGTACCAATTAATTCTTATAAGCCATTCCTAACTGTACCGTCCCATACCAGCACAGTCTCTGGAATCCCTCTCTTTCGGGTGTTGATTCGATTCATTCATGAACCCCCAAGCTGCAAGATTTGGCATGAGCCGCTCATTGTCCGTGCCCTTTCGCACCGGCGATCACTCCCTGCCCTTGCCAGCTCTTGGGATGTTACATGCCCACCAGCTTCCGCCTGGTTCGTCCTCGAACCACACCGTACTGGAAGAGAGGCCCTGCTCTGATACCACTTGTAACGCCCGACCACTTGCAAGAATCAATGACTGTCCCCACACACTAACACGAGACTTTTCAGTGTGCTTTGTCCTCACTCGCACACTTCCCGGGAAAACTTCCCAGGAGGTCACCCATCCCAGAATTGCTCCAAGTCAAGCACGCTTAACTGTGGAGTTCTTCCGATCCGGGCTACCGAAAAGTAGATGCATCTTGTTAGTATAGGTAGTACCAATTAATTCTTATAAGTCATTCCTAACTGTACCGTCCCATACCAGCACAGTCTCTAGAATCCCTCTCTTTCGGGTATTGATTCGATTCATTCATGAACCCCCAAGCTGCAAGATTTGGCATGAGCCGCTCATTGTCCGTGCCCTTTCGCACCGGCGATCACTCCCTGCCCTTGCCAGCTCTTGGGATGTTACACATATGATGAACTAAAAGTTGTATAAATGGAAAGAGGGAAACATATAATTATATCTATATATACACATACACATACACTAGCCTAATGATAAATTAATTATCTGACCTGAATTGAAGTCAGACAATGAGCTGCTCTAATTGCCCGTGAAGCAAGCACCAATCCAAATCTGCTCAACAAATATATATGACAAGATTATTTTAAAATTTATTATATTCACTTAAATGAGTTAGAAAAATAATAAATGCTAGGCAGCAATAGTTGAAGTGACCCCTACGTTGCTTCCTCAAGGGAATATATCCGCAGCTCATACATAACTTGGTGTGCGGAGATTGGATGCCGAGTTGGTGATGTTGCAATGCCAGGCTCTTGATGTACTGGAGTTTGTAATCCAGGATCAGCTTCTATATGAGGAAGCATACATGCAACACAGGCAGCTAAAAATCTACCACATGGTGAAAAATGGGCACCCATTTCACTGCAAAATGTAAACAAAATTTCGAATTAAATATATAATGTCAATGTTTAAATATAATGCCATTTTTATTAAGTAATAAGTTCATAATCATTCAGTATTTATGACCAAAAGTTTACTTCACTCTGAGAATTTATGACCAAAAGTGTAAATATAATGCCCTTTCTATTAAGTAATAAGTTCATAATCATTCAGAAGAGAAAAAAAAAAAAAAAGCAATCAATTCACATAATGTATGTAAGATATCTTTTCTAAAACAACAATCACACTATATCAACCACATGCTGGAGTGGACAAAAAAACTTAAGAAGGTACCTGCAGAGGACAGCATGTGGTATGGTTAGACGGCATCTGTCAGCATTTAGTGGGGTACAGGGATTTTTTATGTCATGCGACCATACTCTTAACTTCACAGTGCAAGGCAACTCTGCAGCTGCCGCTGCAGCCACTGATGTGGTAAGTTCTGTCTGGATTCGATTTATGATGGCTTGGATATCAGACCCATCATGTGGATTATTGATAGCAGCAGCAAGATTCCCAGATTCAGATACAGGTACACGGGATTGTGAAAAATTATTCCGTAAACCTGATCTCATAGAAGATCCAGGTATGCTGATGCTGCCAGGAATTGCTGAAGATGACGGTGCTTCATCAACATTAGAATTAGAAAGATTAGATGCCATCACGGAAGAACCAACCTGTTGGGCCAGAATGTCACGACTAACACCCATGTGAGGAAGCACCGAGGGAACGCCAACTTGGTTTTGACCCATTAACCATCCTTGCAGAAAAGGTAACTCCCATCCACTTGCGTCTCTTGAAGGAAAAAACTGATGAAATTGACCAAACTCTGAGAGAACCCCACGATTTCCTGTTTGTCTAGATAGTCCATGTAACACACCATTAAGGGTATTAGTGGAGTTTCCATGTTGGCTTCCTTCTGCAGGTCTAATTTCATCAGTCTCCATACCATCCATTGTGAGGTTACTGATGCCAATTCCCATTCCATTAGAGAAAATAGTATGAGCAGGATATTCTGCACCAGTTTGAGAACTAGCGGGCATCTCGGAGAATGTATCCATGGGAGACACTGTAGTATCATATTGCTCTGTTGCATTTGTATCTGCTTGAAGCTGCATCAGGGCAGAAGATTCAATTTGCATGCTACCTGAGCCAACATCATGACTAGCATGCTGCAGTTCTGCTCTTGATTCATCAACAGTATATGAAGGCATGAAGAAGAAAGGTATTGACAGATAAGGTAGTTCGCTGGACAAACTAATATGTTCGGTATGATGAATATTTGCGACAAAAACAGCAGGCGGAGGATATTGTAAATAACCAAGAGACGTTGCCTCTGTCATTGAGGAATCCGAAGAGTCGAGATCATTTACCTATACATCAATACAAACATGTTAACCAAAAGGAAAATCCAAAAATTAACATTCTAATTTCTGAATAGCATGGGTAGATAGGCAACAAAATACATATCAGTTCATTCACCTCGGCTGTTAAAAGATACGGGGCAGCATGCGGGTGAAAATGCACAGCCCGAAGCGAGCGCTTTGTCTTCAACACAAATGTTGGTGAGGATGCTTCGCCTTTCTTGTTGTAGTGCCATATGTACAGCTGACAATGTATTCCAGATTATATAATGTAACATCATCCAAAAAAAATGCCACCAAAATGCACTAAAATTCATTACAGATTTAAAGAGCATGAGAGGTTCTAAGAAAAATCACTACCTTGTGGCCTGATGCAACGGCAATTATTTCCCCTTTGGCATGAAAAGCAATGGATGCAATGGGACGATCTGTGAGAAAACACCCAATAGATTCATCAAAGAGAGAACCCAAATACAAGAAAAAAAAATAACGACAATATTTAGTAACAGTAGCAAAGGAAAGGAGGGATAGGAAGTAAATATACAGAAATGATGAGATATTATGCACTCTGATGTATTAGCATCCCATAGACGAACTTCTTGATCCAAGCTCCCACTAGCAAGTATTTGTGGATGCAACGGATGGAACCTAACCTGTAGCCATTAACATATAATTAAAATTTGACAATATGAAAAAGCAATTCCAAAAACGCAAAAATGCTTTCAGAAGAAGAGAGGATTGTGCACATTAGTTACACCAAAGAATCAACATCATAACATAAATGCATCAGCATCTGGCTAGGAGTTAACAAAGCCTTCAACTATCTCAGTGATCAATGCTTGAAACTGGCATTCAATAATACAATTTTAAAGCCTAATTTATTGAAACTAACATTCCCACCACCATGTATTGTTACACAAATTGGACTGAAATCTCCTGTCCCCTACACTGTCTCTCCATTTAAAATTTGCAAATTCAAAAATAAGATGCACATCATCTTTTTCAGGGATTGTTAAATCCCTAGCACCAGTTAACACCATTTTCATCCCACTGTATGTTGTAGGTTCTTCCGCCCCAACGCCTCATACTTTCAACTTTATCTACTTCAGGAATTGTCATGACTTACTACCTGCACACAACAATCTTATTTTACAAAAAGGCAAACCCCGATGCACAAGGCTCCCCGATTTGCGAGGGTAGAGGTGAAGGTTAATTGTACGCAACCTTATCCCTGTATTTTTGCTAAGAGGTTGTTTTCCCTACTTGAACTTGTGACCTTCCAATCACAAGAAACAACCATACTGCGGCTCTAAGGTTCACCCTTAACAATCTTATTTTACAGAAATTGTTCAAAATTCTTACATTGCAGTTCAAGGAAAACTAAAATTTACGCAAACTTGTTTTTTAAGACAAAACTACGAATTAATAGTATGTCTTGGACTTCGTTAAATTTTTGTAAAGCCTCGAACTAAATATAAGTTGACACACTCGAATCTTCAATCATACAGCAGCAGGCAATAACCCTCTTCCCATCTTACTCTGCTCTCTTACCCAAGGGAAGGGTGCTCGTGGTAATGGTTGGCCATAAACTTCAAGCAAAGGAAATGGCGAATGAATTCAGGAGAAGAGGACGGGTCGAGGCAGAGAACCCAAGAGGTCAATATGATAAATTGTGAAAAGGAAACAAATGGAAAACAACATTAACTTATGTTAGATGGGAAAAGATGAGCTGTTATTTTAAATTGATTTGACAAGTTTGAATTGTTCTAACTATAGAGGCATTAAGCTAATGAGCCATACTATGAAGATGTGGGAGAGAGTCATTGAACATTGCTTGAGGAGATATCAAGGTTTCTATAAATCAATTTGGATTTATGCTAGGAAGATGTACCATGGAAGCCACTTTTTGATGCAACAATTAATGTAAAGATATCGAGAAAAGAAGGACTTACATATGATGTTCATAGATCTTGAGAAAGCATATGATAGGATTCCAAGGAAAGTTTTATAGTTGGTTCTTGAGAAGAAAAAAGTACCATCAAAGTATGTAACGGCAATCAAGGAAATGTATGATGGGGCTACTATATGTGTGAAAGCTTGTAATGGAACATCAAGTTATTTTCCTATCACGGTAGGTATAACCAAGATTCGGCTCTAAGTCCTTATCTCTTTGCCTTAGTTATGAATGAACTAACAAAAGATATTCAAGAGGAAGTGCCATGGTGTATGCTTTTTACAGATGATATTGTGCTTATTGATGAGAATAAAGACAATGTTAATAGAAAACTTGAATTGTGGAGAAGCACGTTGGAATCTAAAGGATTCATATTAAGTCGGAGCAAGACTAAGTATTTGAAGTGTGAGTTTTCTCTGGCAAGAGATGTAGACCAAGATCTCGTGCATCTACTTGGTCAATAGGTACCCAAGAAAGATGCTTTTAGATACCTGGGATCCATTTTGCAAAAAAGTAGAGAGATTAATGAGGATGTAAATCATAGAATCAGAGCAGAGTGGATGAAATGGCGTAGTGCATGTGCATCTGGGTATGTGTGACCGCAAAATCCCCCTTAAGTAAAAAGGAAAATTCTATAAAACAACAGTAAGGCCTACAATGCTTTATGGAGCTGAATGTTAACCAACACATAGGCAACATGAGCATAAAATGGGAGTAGCAGAGATGAAAATGTTAAGGTTGATGTGTGGTTATACGAGAATGGATAAGATAAGAAATGAAAATATTCGACGAAAGGTAGGAGCTATAAAGCACGGATACGCAAAAAAAAAAAATTCTACGTATCAGACACACGTCCGATACGGATACGTTGGGATACTCTTTCTTTGCGTATCAAATGGGTCAATGGCATTTCAGTAATTTTTAAAAAAAATAAATAAAGCGTGTTTTTTTTTTTTTACAAAAAGCACCCAAATCGATTGAATCTCAGACGCCCTTAAAGTTCTACTCAATGTTGGTTCGCCGTCGCTGTTCCTCCTCGGCTCCTCCACGGTGGTAGCTGTTCGCAATCGATCTTTCTTCCTCCTTGGCTGTCGGTGGTAGCTGTTCGTCCTCCGACCTCCATCGTCGTTCTTCCTCCTTGGCTTTCGTTCTACTCCTTTTGGCTTTTTGTCGGTCGCTGCTCAAAAAGGATCCTCACGCACGGAGTCACGGTGTCGGTAGGTAAGTGAAGGATCCAATGCTGTATATTCTATTTGTATATAATATAATAGAATGGAGTGATTTTTACATTGAAGGATCCAATGCTCCTTGGTCTGCTCAAATATAATATAATATACAAATATATTTTTATATTATATTTGTATATTCTATTTACATAAAATTTATATTGTTATATTCTGTATATTTGTATATTGTATATTCTGTTTTTAATTTTTCTTTTTAACATGATTTTGTATTTTGTATTTTTAAATATGATTTTGTTTTGTTAACATAATAGAAAATATTAATGTGAAGTACACTATATTAAAAATATTATTTAATACTAAGACGTATTGGAACGTATCGAAATATTAGTATTTTTGAAGTAACGTATCAGACACACGTATCGGGAACGTATCGAAAATGCCATATCGGTATCGGTGCTTTATAGGGTAGGAGTACTACTGGTGGCTGAAAAGATCAAAGAGCATAGATTGAGGTGGTTTGGGCACGTAATGAGAAGGCCCCTGGATGCTCCCGTAAGAATAAAAGTTTGTTACCAAGAGCTCAACACAAAGAAAGGTAGAGGTAGACCGAAACTTACTTGGGGGAAGATAGTAAAACAAGACTTAATGGAGAAAAGCTATAAGCATGGTGGAGAGTTAGACCCGTTGCTATTCCTATGTTCCAGATGGTCTCTTTTTAGTCATTTTCCTCTTCATCTCCCCCATTTTCTTCTTTTCTCCTTCTTTTATTACTTTTATTTATATATATATATATTATTACTATTTTATTTATTTATTTTTATTTTATCTTTTTATATTTTTTCAACCCTTTTGTATCTTTTATTTAGGTTCATCTACCACCGACCCCAATTAGTTTGGGATAAAGGTGTTGTTGACAAGTTTGAATTGGGGACACATAGAAGGGGGCATGATTTCTGTCCTACGCACATTATCTAAAACAAGGAAGCGAAGGATACTAATTCATTAAGAATTATTAAATAACTGCATAAATTGAATGGCAAGATATGATTTTGTTGGTTAATAAGAGAATAGTATTCACTCAAATACATAGAATTGTCAGTTCTAAAGATTACATCTCATCAAACTTCATGCAAAAAAGATTCCTCGATCCTTCTATAAACTACAATCAGTACTACAACAAAAGCTAAAAGAAAGAAAAAAACATATGCTCAAGAAATTAAGGCAAGCAGGCCTATTTCAAGCTTACCACCCAAGGCGTCCTCCTATGGCCAACTAATACCTTTAAGCAACTTCCACTTTCGCAATCAATTATCTTTACTGTGTGGTCACCACTACACACGGAAAACAAACAAATTCAATCACAAAAAGGATCTTCATTTCAAATTAGCAAAGAGGAGAAGAACTAGTTACAACTTACTGAGTGGAAGCAAGAACCTTTCCATCGGGACTAAATGCTGCTGCAATTGTTGACCGTGGAGGAGGCAATAAAGGACAATACTTAGCTGTCAAATGCCGCAATGACTCAGCCTCAACCCTGAAAACCATTGTTAGAGATGTTTAGTCCCCAAAAATTGATTTTTCTTAGAGAAATTCCACATTCTCAAGAGGCTTGCTTTTTCCTCGATATAATTTATAGACTGTAATAGTGTATGTACCATGAGAGGAGGCCACGCCTTGCATCTCTCACTACTTCATTTTTAGGTCGAGAACAGGAACTAGATTTTGATTTAGAAGCTGCTCCCCAATGCCATTTTGCCATGTGCTTTGTTCTGGGCGAAATCTCTCTCCGTGCAAGCAAATTAAATACATTGCTACCACTGACCAAATTCAACACATCAGATAAAAGAAATATCGTAAAGAAAAATATTAGACTTCAAATTCAATATAAAAGAAGGAAAAGGTGTATTCTTCATCAGTTATTGAAAATAAACCTGAAGATGATTTAATAATAAGAAACTTATGAATTTGTAGCTTATAGCGGTATGACCAATCACAATGTCAAGCATAGTGTTGGAAGGTGAGATATTCAAGAAACAGATATTGGAAAATTTTGACAATCAATTTACACGCTCCATGACTATCCATCCAGATCATGCATAATAATGTCCCGGTGAGTACCACACTGCCAAGTATCTATGATCGATAAACTCATGCGATATGCTCCCTATTGATTAGGTAATATGCATATTGTAATGTCATAATACTATGACCATATCATATAGCTAAGTTCACATGACTCAAACAGACCCCAGGCCATAACTATTGCTGGTTTTCGAGTCAGCGACTGTGAATTGAAGCTGATAGACAACAAGAATTACTTAACAAGAAAACAGGATCCAACTTGAAAACTAAGCAAACCAAACCAGCATACAAAATCAAGCTTCAGAAACAAAAAACAAACATATCAAGCACAATTTCAGCTGACTCTAATGATGAGAATATTATTATTAAACACTGCCAATATCTAGAATCAGGGAGCTATACAGGCCTAAAGACCATCACAATAAATCAAATTTTGCAAATTTCCGTTCAAATCACACAACCCAGAATTCAAAATTCTTGTCCGTCTCATGGGTTTGGTCGGAAATGAAGCAAAACGGGGAATTGAAGCCAAGATAGCCACACGGCAAAAAATTACAGTTAAATAAAAAAATAAAGGCTAATCAAATCGATGCAAATGAAAAGTGGGTAATCAGAAAGGGAGGAATTGTAACCTGCTGTTAGAATTATAGGAAGATGAGGTTTGATCACGAGGGCGAGGTAATCCCGTCATTTCTGTGCGAGGGACCAAAATTCATAGAAAATTTGAGATTAAAGATAACACAACAGAGGATCCAATCTGAGAGAGTTACATTCAGAGGAGATTCATTGTTTTGAATTCTCAGAGACGCCAGGGTTCGGTTCGGTTCGATTCGGTTCCTTCGAACAACTCAGAGCCTCTCTCTCTCTCTCTCTCTGCGTGTGGGTGAGGACGCGTGCGTGGCTTTATTTCAGAGCCTCCTTGTTTGATTTCAAAGGGGGACAGACCTAGGGAGACGACGGTAAAAGGAATTCTCATGTTTTGGGGTTACAATTGGAATATCGTTGAGTTTTAGGGGGCGAATGTGGGAAAAATAAAATATTCATAAGGTGAGCTATATTGATCGTTCAATTGATGAGATTATTCCACGTCCACCGTTGGATCATACTAGCATAGGGATTCATGAAACCAACCTAGCCAGAACGAATATGTTCAGTTGTTCACCACCCACATGAACTAACTCTAATTATGTAGGGTGTCACCTAATATATGTAATACAAAATCATTGTTTCAAAAAATAAAAATATTAATAGAAACTATGAAGGGAAGGGCAAAAATATTAATTTATTACTTTTTTAATAAAAAATTACGAATAAGTAGTCGTTTTGCAAAATATTATGAATTTATAGCACCCAAACACGTCCACATGGGGCGTGTTGTCATGGAGAGAGACACGCCCATGTGGGGCGTGAGCTACTGAAGGGGACACGCCCAATGTAGGGCGTGAGTGGCAGAAAAGAGACACGCCTCTTATGGGGCGTGAGCTGTGATGGTAGACACGCCCAACATAGGCGTGTTCCACTGGAAGGTCACGCCCAATCTGGACGTGAGTGATTAAACTGCAGTCTATTTAAACACCCACCCCCTACACACTCTTCACAACTCTCTCATTGTTATGCTTAAACTCTATGATAGTTTGCACTTGTTTACTCATATTTTGTTTTATCTTTTTAAATTTTGATTTTAAAAATGAGTGCGAATTCTGATACTATTCGTGTTGTTCTATATTTTAACAGTAGGAAAGAAGAAGGTCGTCGTGGTGTTATTTTTGTAGGGGAGAAAAGGCCATCACGTATTAAACGGAACTCAACAGTTGCTGAGCTGCATCAGAAAATACGTCAAAAATTATGTCTTCAAGACAACCAATTGATCACTCTAGTCACGGCAAGATTATGGCAATGTGAATAATACATTAGCTTGCAAGTGGTCGATGACGAAGACATCGATATGGTAATGGAAGAGTTCTTGAACCAGTCCAGAAAGGATTTCTTAGAGTTGTATGTGGATACTACCACCGCGGAGGAAGTTGTTATACCAATGAGGTCAGTTAGGTCTACTTCTCCTCTTAATGCATCCTCATCTGCTGCTTCTGCTGTTAACATGTCTGAGGAAGATGAACATGACCCTACTTGGGTTATGGATGAGGAGTATGACGAAGATGATGAGGAAAATATTGCAATGGAGGATCGTCTTCTTGCAGAGGATGCGAGTGCATCGGACAATGACGAAGAATGTGGCAGGTCTGGTACTGAACTTCAACCATGGCATGATTTGGGGGAGTCTCGTATCGTTGTACATCATGACACAACATCGAGTCAAGTACCAGAACATCCTGAAGGTATGCTATCAATTAATATACTGACAGTTTGGTTGTTGCAATTTTTGATTAAGAAAATAATTCAATTATATTATTATTATTACATAGTACATGTAGGCGATGCACCTGTTGATCCTTTTTGGTCAGAAATTCCACATTACACATATATTGATTGGGATTATCCGAGTGAGGCACAATCATGGACGTAGAGTTTGGGTTCAATCCAGGGTCCATGGCAATTGGGAGAAAAGTTGTTTGTTAACCAACACTTTACATCCAAAAAAGAGGCTCAGATGGCAATCAAGCGCTACCTCATGAAGAAGCATCAAGAAGCAATTGTGGTTGAGAGCACTCCCACAAAATTAAGCATGAAATGTTGTGCACACGTCCAAGGTTGCCCGTGGAGGATCAGGGTAATTAAACCAATGTATGGTGAAAATTGGAAGGTAACAAAATGGGGTGGGAATCATAATTGCTTGAATGACCATCTTTCTCAAGATCATCGACAACTTGATTCTAACGTTATTGCAGCACTTGTAGTAGGTACATAATTTCAAATTAAAAAGCTGATTAAAATTGCAGTTGATATACCTGTTGTTCTGTTAATGTTTATATCCAGCTTTTGTAATTCAGAGATGATAAAAAAGGAACCTTCAGTGGCCATTGCGCTCGTTCAGGAGAGGATAACTCATTCATATGGATTCAAAGTTTCATATAGAAAGGCATGGTATGCGAAGCAGAAAGCCATGGCAATGTTATATGGTGATTGGGAGGAATCCTATGCATTTTTACCCAGCTGGTGTGAATATATGCTTCGTTTTTCACCAGGTTCCTTTTACAATATTCAAACAAAGGATTGTTTTGTTGCGAGGCAGTTGGTTCCCGGAAAACGTGTATTTGTTCGTTGTTTCTGGACTTTCAGACAATGTTGTGAGGCATTTAAATTTTGCAAACCAATGATACAAATTGATGGCACTCATCTATACGGAAAATATAAGGGAAAGTTGTTGATTGCCACAGCTCAAGATGGTAATAATGAATGTGTGTCACTTGCATTTGCCGTTGTTGAGGGTGAGACGTTGGAGGCTTGGTCATACTTCCTTGCCAATCCTCGTCAGCACGTCACACAAGTGCAGAATATATGTCTAATTTCAGACCGGCATGTTAGCATATTATCGGCTGTTGAAAATAATCCCCTATGGCAGCCACCCCATGCATTTCATGTGTTTTGCCTGCGACATGTTGCAAGCAATTTTAATCAACGATTTAGAAATGACAAATTGAAGGCTAGCCTGATGAATATAGGTATGTTGCACACTATGATTAGTGAATTAAAATGTTGTAGTTTTTCGTTAAGCGTCAAATGTGTGTTTTTTAAATTGTTCGCAGGATATACTCCTTGCATGGTGGATTTTGAGAGGTCGCTAGCACGATTTCGTGACACAAGCAGGCAAGTAGCGGAATGGATTGATGTCATCCCTAAAGAAAAGTAGTCGCGTGCACATGACCTTGATGGACGAAGATTTGGGCATATGACAACAAAATTGGCAGAATCCATAAAGAGGGTGTTAAAGGGAGCAAGAAACATGCCCATTACTGGTCTGGTAAAATTTACATACAGTAAATTGGTCCAATATTGCGTGGAAAGAGGTCAATCGGCTTGTAGACAACTTGAATCTGGTCATACTTATTGCAAAAATGTGATTGAATCATTGACACATAATGAATCAGTGGCAACAATGCATACTGTGCGTACATATAATGTTGATGAAACTATTTTTGAGGTGGATGCAGGGTTTGAAAGGACATATGTTGTCAACCTTATTGCTCGTACATGCCAATGTGGACAATTTAAAGCAATTAAATATCCTTGTAGTCACGCCGTTGCTGCAGCGTTATCCATTCGTCGGAATTATCGACAATATATAGATGATGTTTTCAAGACGTCAAACTTGGTAAAGGCGTACTCATTTCCATGGGAACCAATCGGCAATGAGCAAGCAATTCCACCCAATGCAGGTCCTGTGGTAATACCGGATAAAAATATGTTGCGAGCAAAAGGTCGTCTAAAGTCTACAAGAATACGGAACGAGATGGATGAGGTTGAAACTATTACATCACGCAGGTTATGTGGTCTTTGTAAGCAACACAGGCACAATCGTAGGTCGTGTCCTAACCGTGGAAATAATGCATGATATGACTTGTGGGTGTTTGTCACTTATGAACAATTATTTTGCCAATTAAAATGTATCGCTCTATTTTTTAAAAATTAGCTTTTATGGTGATTGTGTGGTTTCTTGCTTATAACATATAACATCGCATACATAAAAATTATTTGTTTACTCCTTGCATGCTAATAGAAATATTCAAAAAATAGTCCACAATAGTCAGCGATAGCACAGTACACAATAACAACAGTCCCAAAAAATAGTCAATACATCAGCCCATCTAACTAAACGAAAACAAAAAATAAAACTACGACCAACGAGGCCATGGCCTATCACGTGCCTGACGTGGGGGTAATCGACGCCTAGACTGAGCCTCACCAGATGCGCATGCCATGGGGTTAGCCTGATAAACCTGCTCACTCTGTGTAAACCCCTGGCCATACGATGTACCTTCCTGGCTATCATAATACTGCGGCGGAGGAGGACCATGGTACATAGGTTGTGGCCCGCCTGCTTGGCTCAGCACTGGCGGTCTAAACCAACCCTGCATATCAGTGCGCTATCTAGGAGCAATAATAGGATCGGGTATCGCTCGAACCGATTCCCATTGTCGTCCTAGTCCACGTCCCTCCTGCCTGCCACTAGGCACCTAAATGGTCAACATCGGCTCCTCAACAGTCTGCGTAGGTGGAGCCTCTGGCCCTGGCTCCTCTACTCGTGCCGACTCTCTGAATATTGCAATAATGCGACCAATCTCGTCATAGACCCACTCTAAGCCAAAGGCGGGGAACTGATCCACAGTAGTCGCAAAATATAGCATCTCCAACCCATCAATCTATAAAGAAATGAAACAACATGTGTTAATTAAAAATGTATAAACACATAATCATATTCAAAATTGAAGTGTCAAAACTTACTGGTCGTCCAACCCTGGCAGCTTTCCTGGCGACGAACCGTTTCCCTCGCTGTCTGTACCAGTGTAGGTACTCATGGTTCGGGGACATCAACCCGACCAGTACAGGGGGAACACATATGGACGTATCCCTAATCATCCATCGATGTATGAAGGGCCTCATCTTACGCTCCCAATTATCATCCTTCTTCCCTCGCAAAGTTAGATCATGAACACCCTTAAGCTTTCTTGGTCTCCGCGGTATGGGTGATCAAAACCAAATTGTCGCATACATCTATCCGGTTGAGCGTACTCAACTGTGTGGAAGCAAATGATAGGAGTAATGGCCAACCATAAGTACCGCTCATGATCAGATACAAACAATGTTGTATGGTACTCTCCGTATGGCTGCCACACAACCTACATATAAAAAAAATAGTAACAAGTACACAATTACCACCAACTATAATATGTAAATAAATTAAAGACAATTACTAAATAGATATCACAAACCTCGTCTCTATAAAGCGTGTCCGTGAATGTCTGTGCCCGCAACAGGGGCAGTCCTAAAAACCTGCTGACACATAGCAATCCAATCCAACGCTGTAGATCCGGTAACTGCCTGCCCGTCAGTAGGCAAACCAAGTATACCAGCCATGTCCTGTAATGTAACGGTCATCTCTCCCTACGTCATGTGAAACGTATGTGTCTCCGGTCTCCAACGCTCAACCAAAGCATAGATCAAGGGGGTATCGATCTGAAGGAAAAACAACAATTATACAAAGTTCACATACGGTAATTTAATTAAGTAATTTAAAAATTACATACCTGAATATGACTCATACGTGCCACGTGTATGAACCCATCCTGTGTCAAATAGTCAGCGACAACGTCTGGTATATCATCATGATGGGGTCCCCCCTGAAGTTTCCCTCGCCTCGTCTTTAACCCCCTGACCTTATCCTCGTTCCACACAACTTGTGAAACGTGACTGCGCTGTGTCCTTTTACGGAGTACCTCCAACCTATACGGGCCAGGAAGTACATGCGTACAAAGATCGGATGGCTCAAGATCACCATCGGATCCAGAGCGCGAGGACTCTGATGAAGACGAATGGGCCATAATAGAATACTACTACAAATGAAAAAGATGTACCCAAATTACTATTGATATTATATTAATTTACACTAAATAAAATTTAATTGCACTTAATTAAATAGCATTTAACTAACTTCAATTGTTATATTAATTTCAATTAAATTAACATCATTGACAATTAATTCATTTAACATTACGTTATTCTAAAAATATATTTCAATACATTAAATATTCAAATTCAATTTAAATTAATATTGCATACGGTATTCTTTTTTTACAAACCCTAATTATAATGTGGTTAATTGAAAGGTCAATATGTTTGCAAGTGTCATTCATAAAAAAATATTTATTGTCACAAACTAATTTCTAAGTGTGTAAATAAGTCATAAAACCAACATATACCAATTTAGAAGTAACTAATTAATTTTTAAGTCCATATCTAATACCTAAGTCACATCACAATTCTCTTACATAGGTCACTAATATTTTTCTAACCCCCTAACAATTAAATAAAGTCACAAATATTTTTCTAACCCCCTAACAATTATCTAAGTCACTAATAACTATCATATATTAATTGCTGTTAATAAAAAAATAAACAATAAATAGGGACTTACATGAGAGAGAGACAGAGCTTCGCTGCGCAAAACCCTCCAAAAGAAATGTAGAGAGAAGGAGGAGGAGGAGATTTAGAGAGAGGATGAGAGGGTGAAAATGAGGTAAAAAAGTGAAAAACCCATATATATAGACCACGGAGAACACGCCCATTAGGGGCGTGTCTCTCTCCCGCCACACACGCCCTACGTTGGGCGTGTCCCCTTCAGTAGCTCACGCCCCACATGGGCGTGTCTCTCTCCATGAGAACACGCCCCATGTGGGCGTGTTTGGGTGCTATAGATTCATAATATTTTGCAAAACGACTACTTATTCGTAATTTTTTTATTAAAAAAGTAATAAATTAATTTTTTTGCCTATGTGTAAGTAAGGCATGATATTATTTGTTTTTTCTCTTAACTTGTATATGTATTATATGTATAAGCATCAAACTGATTATGCATTCGAAACAGACCAAAATTGGGTTTAATCGGCATTGAACCGGTTTTATGTTAAATTGCGTAAAATATATATATTTTGAAAGTAACGGGATTCGAAGTTGAGTCCTTTTATTTAAGAATCGAAAGACCTGTCACTATATCACTTTTATTTATAAAATATAATGTTTATAATTTAATATTTATTATTATTATTTTAAAATTCAATTAAACCCGATTGAACCACTGACTTAGCGTGTGCATGACAATTTTTTCGGAATCAATTCTTTTTTAATTTATGTTCCCGGGAACAGAAATGGATAGGAAACTCGTTTGGTAAAATCGGTTTATTTTTTTGTTCCCGGAATGAACCAGTTTAATTCTTGTGTTGGGGAACAGAAAAAAGAATAAAAAAATTTCTGCTTTTTTTGTTCCCGGGCACAAAATGAGAAACATTTATCTCTCTCAATCACTCTCTACCTCTACCATCATCACCACCACCACCATCATCCCGACACGATTGTCGCCGCCATCGTACCACTAGTGCTGTCGTCACCACCCCTCACCACCATGATGCCACTGCCACCATTACCACCACCTCCACCCATCACTACCACCATGCTACCGTCACCACCACCACAACTACCACCGCCGCCACCACCACTATCACCGCCACCGTCACCACCACCATCACCATTATCGCCATCAACCACCACCACCATCATTGCAACCACTTCAGTCACTGTCACCATCGCCATCACACGCCATTGCCACTACCCCCATCGCCATCACTACCATCACCACGATGCCACCACTACCATCACCACCATTGTCACCAACCACCACTACCATTGCCGCAACCACTACCGTCACTACCACCGTCGTCGTTGCCGCCGCTGCCACCAACCACCACCACCAACGCCACCACTACCATCACCAGGCCATCGCCACCACCGCCACCGCCACTGTCACCTACCACCACCGCCGCAACCATTGCCACCACCACCACCATGATGCCTTCACAACCACCACCACCATACCACTGCTACCATTGTTGTCGCCACCAATCACCATACCCCACCACTACCACCGCTGCTGCCACCATTACCACTGCCATCGTCACAGTCACTGCCGTCACAACCACCACCATTATCTTCACCACGTCACTGCCACCACCACTATCGTACCGCCGCCGCTGTCGCCACCACAACCATACCATATGGAAAGGAAAGTGATGATCCGAAAAATTTTATATTTAATAGGAATTATTTTTTTATTATATTATTTGTTGTGTTATCAAACACAATTCTCATTCTCGGAATAAAAATAGAACATGTTATCAAACACATTTTTTCTCAGAAACCATTCCAAGACACAGAAATAGAAAAGAATTGTTTCTTTTCAGAAACAGTGCTCGGGAATAAAATGGTTGTCATGCACACCCTTAATAACTCAATACCTCGACCAAGTTAATAATCGATCCAAATTTTAAAACAATGATAACATATAATATTTGGATGTTTTATTCGCTGTTTAATGTGAGACTTTAAAATAATAATTATTCAGTACATGTTAAATAGAATAGAGCAAATAAAAGTCTAAAAGATATAACATATATAAAAGTTAAGACTGGATTATACTTGTAAGTTCCAGTAAAATAGTAAGTGAAACATACAAGCATATAACATGCACAAAAGGAGAGCATCTTCTGTACGATATTTGCACCAACCACTATACGAAATATTAGTATTATAATTATGTATTTTGGGAGTATATAATTATAATATCAAAGTTATTCTTTTTCTCTCTTTAGTATATGATGTGTAATCATCTCATTAGTGGGATGCACCTACGACGGAAGTATTCTAGAAATTTCCACACAAAAGGTGGTGGATGAGCAAGTCATTTCAGGGGGAAATAAAAAATTATGAAAATATAACAATTTAGAATCAATTTACAAATTTATTATACTCAATAACACTTAAAATAAGAGTGATCACTCGTGC